AAATCAGCAGATAGAGAAGAGACAGTAAGCAGGATTTTGGATGAGACCAGGAAGAACCTAAATGAGGACTTTAATCTGAGCGTAAACCAAATATGAGGCAGAAGATGGAAAATCTGAATGTCCACAATCACTGACTACAGGAATCCCTGCACGATAAACAGAAGGAAATAGAGGAATTAAAGAGACAGAATATAGAGCGACTAGAACGACAGAGTGAGATGGAGAATGTAAGGAAGGAAATTATCAAAGAGACGATGGAGATCATAAAGATGGCGGTGGATTGGATCGGATACGGAAGGGCAACTATAATGAACAGTTCAGCAGGAGAAATAATTTCAAGGTGAAAGATTTTGCAAGGTGATGCCTAATTAACAAGAACATTCGTGAGACCATCAGCCGTGACGACCTTATTTTTGCCACATGATCGCTGTGAGGGACACCAAGACAGCATGGCCATTAGTAGTAAAGTATAACAACGTTTTTGAGGGGTGTTGTTATCTTATTTGAAAAGTAAAAGTTCTGGAGATATTGTATGGTCCAAATATATTATTAGAATAACTTTCTCTAGGTCGGTGGGTGATTTCTGGAGTATCCAAAAACACACCCGTACAGTCCGATGCCTAGGTCCTAACTGGCGTTACAGTTCGTATTCATGTGTTAAGTACATTTACACCATATCAATTAAGTAATTAGTTTGAGTGACATCTGCTATTCATAGCAATCGGCCTTTCAGATTCATGCCGTACCCAACCAGGTAAGCCAATTTAGCTGTCCTTTGTCTGAGACTGAATGCAGTATCCGATCTGGTATGACCAGTTAATCCTGTTACGTAATATAATTAAGTTGAAAGATATAAGGTATAAGATGGACAAAGTAAATGCATGAGTTAATATGACAACCATGACACATGTCGACTTTAAAGGAAAAGCTTCATAAATAGAAATTATCTAAATTGACACAAGTTCAGGAGAAATAATTTACACAAATAATTCCAGGATATTAATTATATTTATGTCACACGATGGATTAAAATAAATGAAAGTTTGTAGTTTAAAATACGCTTAATAACGAATATAATGAGATTTTAGATTAAAGTTCAAATTTAGCACTTTTATCATAAAATGATAAAAGCTCGAACCGAAAATTGTCATGCTAAAGGAAAACAGTTGGATTGATAATGCATTGTATTTCAACGGTCGGATTTTTGTGCGGTTTGGGATGGTGTGAGCTAGGAAGCCATTTGACTTATTTGACAGTGGGGACGAGATATTCAAAAGAAGGTTAAGTAGCTTCAGGAAAATGCATAGGAGGAGTTACGGGGGACAATGAAGCTGGTTGCTGATGTGACAAGTGATAATGCTGGTTTAATCAACAGACTAAAGTATGACAGTCGCATTGAGAGTGCATGTATTTCAATGGACGAGTTTTTTTTGCGGGTTGTGATGACTTATATGATATATGATAGTGTGGATGAGGTGTTCAAAAGTAGGGTCGGCGCTTCAGGGAAATACATAAAGCAGTGAAAATATCTTCACGGCCTCTTCATGAATACCTCTACCCTAGAGCATAGTCTGGGTAACTTGAGAAATACATATAGGTATAGTAATACAAGTATCAGAGTATAACCACCACTCGACAAGTTTTATAGAGATTTACATATACCAGTATTAACATTATTGAGGTCTTTGTATTATGACATTTCGATAATAAGTTTTGATGAGAATTGTCATAGTTTTCCAAGAGAACTGTAAATTGCAGTATCATTAAGCAAAATATGCTTCAACAGCAACGCTAGAATAACGTTCACAATATATTGTCATCAATATTATAGACCACTATCGGACAAAAATCAGAAGCATTACAAATGATGTGTATACATTTGGAATGATAGCACTGATAGGACGGAAAGTCAGCTATGTCAGAATTTTTATGTGGCGGACTACAATCACTATAACAACATGTTAATATTTCTGTGTTATATGATATTTACGGTATTGATATTTACGGTATTTATCTTACAAATAAGATTTGGTATCAGTTAGAGAACAATAGGATTTAATTACAGGTAAACTATAGTCTGCACTATAAAGTGTCTTATCATATGAAACTGAACGCATGCATAGCATTGATTTTTGGTGTTAAATTTTAATTATTTATGATATTGTTTCAACTTTATATATAAAAGTCTTCATCATAATATTAGGGAATTTCAGATTGAATGTCCTTACTTTACATATTATTTCTCTTCCCATATTGCTTAATTTTTTCAAGTATTCTTCGTGACCAAAATTTCCTCGAAATTAGGTAAGTGGTTCCTCTGGTCAAGGTTGTAACATCATTATACCATTGTTGAATAAATTCGTCATGTAACCTTGTTTTCAATGTATGTTTCAAAAATAATTTGCCTACAGTACATGCCTCTTGATATATCCATATAAGTTCAGCCCGAGTTACTAGTATTTTCTTAATATAATGTAACCATTTAAATTGAAAACGAAAGGTCATTTTCATGTTAACTGTACATTATCTTGTATACAAATTACATTACTCAGTGATTTTTGCAAAATAATGGTAAACACATAATCAAAGTAGTGCTCATTTACTATTCCGTCTATTCCACATGCCGACGGTGTTATTGACCACGGTATATCGTACCAACATTTCTCTTCAATGTTTTGGAATCATATTCCAGTAAAGTATAGAATACATGTATGTCTCACTAGATTAAGTACTTCTTCGGACTGGAAGATTAAGAAATGCTCCTAGAGAACAAAGACATTGTATGGAATGTAACTCCGTAGACATGAATGTAGTAAATTTCAAAATCTAACAGTGTGGTTTTCCTTAAGGCTGTTCAGTTGTTAAGTGTCAAAATAGTAAACAGCTATGTATGTTAGGGAAATTTATCTTGAAGCTATCTGAACCCTTAACTTAATTGTGTTGTATAGAATGTACATCATATTCTCTAAACATCGTTTTGTGTATATCATGTACCACATATAATGGGCCCCTAGCCCAAAGGTTGAATACATCTTGACATTTGTGATGTTTTGAATGAAAAGTGAAGTTATAATTATTTTTCCTTTCTACAGTGTATGTCCACAGCTTGAGATTGAAATTCTGCAGGTATGTAACTATAAAAATTAAACAACATTTTGTCAACTGTTATTTATACACAATGCATTACAGCGTTTTAACAATCATTGATATTAAGATTAGTTAATGAGGCTTTACTTCTAATCAACAATAGGATTTTGATAATTAACATGCAGACGGCTCGTACCTTACAGCTGTGATACTATAAAAACTCACGCAGAATTGTAAAAACGTAATTATTTTGATTTCAGAATGATAATTAAAATACATGCACCCTTTTATTTATTTTTAATATGCAAATGTCATCTTCTACCACGTACCACTATAATTCTTTACAAAGATAATGGAAATATTTCTCTGATTAAAGTAGACGCAAGTTCTTGATAATGGTATGTATTACTATCACCTACACCATTTTGAAACAGACTATAACCGAATTGTAATTAGGTGTGAAAATGGCTGAGACTAGGTATTTTAGAAATGTATGCTAGGTGAGACGAAACCCTTGGAACTTTACCTGTGCGCCATATGGCGTATGGCCTAAAGCTTATATGTCAATGATTGATTATATGTAATACCAGTGGGTAGGTATTAGTGTCAGTTGCTCTTGTTAGATCAGTCGAAAGATAGCAGTTCAATATAGTTATAACAGTCATCAAATAGGATGCACTCGATACTCACTGATATCGAAACCAATTCTCCCTGTAGCGTGTTAGATAGAACTTATGATTTGAAATGATAACAATTGATGTAAACAAACTTAGGCTAGCGTATAATTCTTGCGTAAAAATAATGATAAATTGTCTTTTTTTCTTCAACAAATTGTTACAGAGATCCGTGTGATACAGGTACAGATATGTTTTAGAGTCTCACCTTCCAACAGTTCACACATGTTATACATTCTCATAAAGCCAACACACAAGTATTAAGTTGCTAGAAGCCACTCTAAAACAGTTATGAGAGATTAGGTCTAAAATATTATACAAGTAGCTATACTTAAATGAGAGACACTTTAAAAAAAACTATACAGAATATCCATTAGTCAGAATGTACTCATTATTTCCATTTTGCGCTAAAAGAATCATAAACATTGAAACAATTATCTTTAAAAGACCATATATGATTTGCATAATACAAATCCTGTAAAATCCTAATCATACATATATCATATTATTTTCATTTTCCCATGCGCTTCTTTTTACAGTCACAATTCAGTTAGGCATTTAGAGAATGTCATAGGACTTATAATCATATTCCATATCATACTCTGCATCTGCCCAAAAGTTAATTCAGTTTTACTCTGTTCATATATATATGTTATGTATTAAACAAAAGAAACCTAAGGGATGGCCTTGTCTGATCCCTCTGTAGCGACATTTTTTCTTCTGCTTGGGACCTTGAGTGAACATCAGCGTTAGCAAAATATTATTTGACGATTATTATATTTTTCATTTTGAAAGATGGAATACGTGTATAGAAACTTTGGATTACAGTCTATCTCAACAGAAATAACGATATAACACGATTTATGTCTATAGAAGTCATCACCCATGTCAATATTTCATTTTCATCTTTTTTTTTATTAGATCCTGGGATAAACACTATTGTTGTCGTGTGTAATAATGTTAAGCAGAGACGTATATCTCTGGTTTTATATCTCTCTGTTTCATGGCAGCATTTATAATGCTTGACTGTCTGTTAATTCCAAATACATTCATAGACCTATGTCTTTCTTGATAGGTCTCTGATATATATGTTTCCATATTTAAGCGTATGTGATTGTATCTCCCCCGAACATGATTATGGTTCCCAGTTTACGGTGCGGTAAATGATATGCTGGGCCTATCATGGAGATTATGATTTATTGGAGGGACTACGGTAGGGACTTAATCACGTGTCAATATTTTGAACGCGAGGTTATATATCACGTGACCGCGCACCACGCTTGGAAAGAAAATCATGGCGGACGCTAGTCGTAAGTATTATCAGTCCTATTCAAATGCGTATTTTGATTAGTATTTTGCGTTAAATTAATGTATGTTATGTTCTAAAAATGTCTGACTATATCATTCGTACATATGTTGATTTGACCGATGTACTGCTCCAACAGTTAAACGGAAAATTTGTCTTTTATTCGATGCCGGCATTTCCTGACGAAAACAGCCTCATGTTTCACCATACTCATTATTTTCTGAAGCAGGCTTTGGATTTGTATTTATGCCGAATATCCTATATAGGCTTGATCAGAGATAAAGATTATCTTAACATCACACAAACATGTTCTTCTTTTTAACGGAATAAGTCGTAATTTTGGTTATTTCGGTGACAAAGAATTATTCGGCCTTGACCTTGTATCGAAGCATTGATTTAGGTTAGTAGCCGACATCATTCTCGTTTCTCTTATTTGTTTCAGAATACAGTTACTCAACATCAGCAGGGCAACCAGCCAGGTAATTTTAATTATTAGCAGGTTAATAAAGTGCATAAAGAAGTTCCTAGAAACATCTCTGAAAAATCGCATTGCAAATGGCGGTTCGATCTCCATTAAATGTTCATTGTTTCACCACTTCCTGTACCGTTTACAATGCAATAACCCAAACAACAATCTTGCGGACGAAACTATCACAAAAATTACAAGAGCTCACTAGGGGAAAGTGTTACAAATGCGGCCGGGAATAAAATGTTCACCTTTATGAAGCAAATATTTCTATACAATTTTTTTTCATAATTTCCATACATATCTCGCCTTGTATGAGCTCACTAGGGGAAAGTGTTACAAATGCGGCCGGGAATAAAATGTCCACCTTTATGAAGCAAATATTTCTATACAGTTTTTTTCCATAATTTCCATACATATCTCGCCTTGTATTCAACCTTTAAATTTACTCCAAAGACTGCCAGGTTAGAAAATAAATGTAAACATTAGCTTAAATAGTTCCTTCCATTTTACTCGGTTCTGGACACAAATTATTCCAAAATCTTTTCAGCAGTGTTAAATGCTGACTAGTAAAGCTTGTTCATGTATCATGGGCAAATTTAGTACTATTAATACTAGCATGATTTTAATTGTTTTGTGTAATAATTAGTAATTAGTAGTTTAAAAGTTTTTAACAAAAGGCCAAACAAAAAATATGTTTCCAGTAACCCTACCTACCCTAATCTATTAAGGTGTATCTACCCTTTTTTGAGATTTGGGGGCTATTTAAATTTTGATACAGTGGAACCTGCTTATTATGATAATCTATTTAGAGAAAAATATAATAACCGATCAAGCTGTTTTCGATCATTTTTATGTTGTCTGAACCGGAAGTGAGATGCCCTATATTAATCAGACAGATTAATGTGGAAACATTGAAAAATATAAATACAAACTGATAAAGTAATAATTGAAATAATTTGTTCATCATTATTTATATTTCATTTCGTCGTAATGATCAGTATGTAAAATCTACTTTCACTTTTTCACATGAGAAATTGCGATACATTTTATCCCATAAACTCGTAAAAATATTTTACAGCGGTATGTCAATTACGATCACGTGACAATCACATACCTTGCAAGTCGTGCGACGAAATCAACTTGCAAAAAACCAATAACAATTAAAACCACAAAATATTCCCTTTTTAACAATAATCAAATATTGTATTTTAACGAAAATGGTGTAAACTGTAAACAGCCGTCAGTGGTTTAAGACAATAACGTTCAATTTTGGCCACCATGTTTTCGGATGGGTTTTCCCGATTTTGACTCTTTTTCAACGGAGACGCATGGAAATCAACTTCTACTGCAAAAGAGAAACTATTGCTTAAATGATTAAAAACAGGCTTCTTTCTTCTGAAGAAATATTTTCATTGAAATCGGCATGATTTTCTCACATGACGTGTCCATAGTGACCATGAATATTTGTGAAAGGCATGCTCGTTTTCTTGTTGAAATTTGTGTTAGAAAATGTTGGTAGGTCTAATCATTTCAATATGATGCACAGTCCTTCAGTGCATTTTAGATAGCAATTAACTGCACTTCATGTTTTGTTAAGACTAAAATGTATGACCAGCAAACAATTGTCGACCTATTATTTTTCACCGACTGGGGTGAAGCGAGGTGTGAAAAATTAACCTGGAGTGGACAGGTGGTCACCTCGAACGATGTACAGTTGGCCAGACCTATTGCTTAATTGTCCAGGTGTCACACGGACAACTTATCTGAGTTTTTACCTTATAAAATCCATTCACAGCAGAAAAATATATATAATAAGCGGGGTCCCACCCTTTGACCACATCATAAAAAAAAAAGGAAAAAATTGGTACCTTGGAAAAATATCATAATAAGGGATATATCATAATAAGTGGGTTCCACTGTATAAGGCTTTAGCGGCATCAAGATTTTTCCGACATACATATATGTGCAGTATATTTCAATTAATAAACAATTTTAGGCTTAAATTGTAGAATTTTTGAATAAATTAAGTGAAGAAAATGAATAGAAGCAGTAATATGCATTTGAAACTGTTAGACTTTAAAGAAAATCATACAGGGGAAATAGTTTTGGAAAAAAACCTGTTATTTTCTTGTTGAAATAGGTAATTTTTAAAGCACATTGGGGAAATTCATTTAGATGCTATCTTAGACTGAAAGAGTTCTTCTTGAACACGTCTTTCTTTATATTTCAGCTACTCCTACGGGAGTTATGGCGCCTCAACAGATGCCAGTACTTACCAACAACAACCACCAGCAGCAGCTACATATGGACAACAGGTTAGAATTAATATGTCCGGAAATAAAAATACAAAAATTTCAAAATACTATTGAAACCCTGAATTAAAACACAGTTGAATCAATGGGATTTTGGCATTAGTTTTGTCAAAAGAAATGATGTAAATAAGAACTGTCAGTCAGTATTAATGTGTATTTATTTTTTCATCAGCCTGCAGCCTATGGTCAACAGGGATACACTGGTTACGATCAGAGTGCATATTCACAGGCCCCACAGTCTGCAGCAACAACACAGCCAGCTACATATACTCCACCAGAGAGCTATGGTAAGTATAGATAGATGAGTGCAAGATACACAAAGATAATCCAGACAAAACAGGAGTAAAATATGCAGTTATAATGCTGAAGTAAGCAAAGGTAACTGACAATCCTAACAGCAGTTGGATGCTGAGTGGCCAAGCAGATAATTGCTAAAGATGTTTTATTTAATAAGTATAAGGAGTAGATGGATGACCCTATGTTGTATGCTGAACACGAGAAGGATGGTAAGAAAAGATTGCGAGTATGTCAATCATGATTACAAATCATATGACCTCAATGTTAGTGCGATTGTTAAACCTAAAAACAAAGTGATTTTGTTAAATCTGTCTCGAACTTCTAATTGTATAACCCCATAGTAGTGATGTGTAACATTACCGTTTTTTCCCTGTTGTAACAGGTCAAACTTCAGCAGGACAAGTACCAGCTTATGGTTCCTATGGACAACAGAGCTACACACAGCCTGCCAGTACAGACTACAGTCAGTCACAAACGACACCTTCCTACTCATCAGGTACTGGTCACATACACTTGTAGGTAGCAGGTTAATGTTCCGTAAGAGCATTAACATGCATAGCTAGCAGATGATGCATAACTTCTTAATAATTAAAAAAAAATCTCATCAATTCACTCATTATTTTACATAAAATGAAAAATTAAATGGTGTTATCAAAGAAGTAGAAACAAAGTTGGTGTGTTTGAGTGATGTTTTTAACAGTAATACATTTGACAAAGTGTCGATAAAAATTTACATTTTACTCATTAACTATGAATGAATCATCTGCTACGTTAAACTAGAGAGCACCATATTCATGTAACTAAATATTATTTGTGTTCTTATAGAAAGGGAGGATTTGAAGTGTTTTGAAAATAAAAGGACTTGATGAGTAAAGTTTCGTCTTTAAGGATATATATAAACATTTTATTAGATTGCATGACAGAAAAAAAATCCTTCTTTTTTTTATAAAGACACTTCACTTGCTTTTGAGAAAACAAATGTATATTAAGTTGAATGCAATATAATGAACTTGGCATATCCTTTTCATTTCATTTCCCACTTGCTTTCATACATCCAGAAAAGGTTCTGTTAAATACATCAGAACCAAATATGGACTGTTTTGCTTAACATGCTGTGTAGGTCATCCTTAAAATTGTTTGTTTGCAATTTTCCCATACAATTTGTTTTCACTGGGTAAGGATGTTTCTATTTTTTAGACGTTTCATATTTCTTTTCAGTATAAATGCCCAAAGTTTCAGTGATTATTCAGCAAGATTTTTATTTTTTTTACCCAACATTACAAAAAAAGTTTTTGAGTGGTTAGTAAGTTGGTTTGGAAACTGCAAACAAACAAGTTTATTTGTCACTTTCAAAGTTGTTTGTTGCATACTGTATATTCTTCTTGATTAACTAGCTGTTAAATTGTTTGGAATATATTTGAACATAGACTTTGACATAACGGACAACTCGTCCTTAAATTAGGAATCGATGTTTGGCAAGATTGTAGTGTTGGAAATTAGTGATGGGACACCAGGTGTTGAAGATGCATAATTGATCATCAGTAAGAATAAGTCGGGCCATTCAATGTGATGAAGCATTTATTTTATTGGATGATGTAAACATTATGAATATATTTTTAGAATCTCTAGTTCCCCTTTACAAAATATCAAGTATACTGTTACGTATAAGTGTGAAATGCCTTTATAGTTTATAATGAAACACAGGCATTTTATCACAAAGGTGTCACTGATGATTGATCATGGAATGGAAAAGTATTATTAATTAACATAATTTGTTAGTTTTTGTAAGTCATTTACCAGTTTTATCCAACCAATGGCCCAACATAATGATGCAGTAGGTGTGGTTTTGTTTGAATCATAGAGATGAGTTTGGTGTCAACATTAAATGGTTATCGATTCTGTGTATTAGGTTCATATGGAGGTCAACAGAGTTACAGTTCATCTTCCTACGGTGACACCTCGCAACAGTCATATGGTCAGCAGTCAGGTAACACACATTTCTCTGCCTTCACACAGCTGTCAGACACAGAGTGCACTAATGTTGTACCATGGGATCATCGTGTTTGTAGATTAAATTGTAGCATAATATTTTGCAGAAAGGGATTTTTCTAGTAGTTTCATCCTCACTTTATCAAGGATTTTTTTCTGCTTTGTTTAAATGGTATGAACCTATATAATAATGCCTATCACATTAATCCATTATGCATATTGACATCAACTCATGTTGTACCACACATAGACATACTATCCTTTCAAGTTCTTCAATTAAGAGTTAAAATTGCTGGTTTGGGTAAATTCAGAGGATATCAGTGATACCTTGCTATTATGAGGATGGATTAAGTGTCAAAAAGCATACAACAGGTAAGATAAAAATAGGGATTAGTGTGTATATTTTGTATTTATATTGTCACTGCATGAGATTGGAATGCGATGACATCTTACGGAACAGGTAAAAAGTGTTTTTAACATGTATGACGATATCGATGGTGTCAATCTAGTGAGGTAAACAGTGTTTCAACTTCAACTGTAATAAATATTTGGAACTAAGCTCATGAAGAAAATTATTGCTGTAGTGATTAGAAAGGCACAAATACTAGAAAAATCCCTGGCTTTTAGATATATGAAAGTTAAATAAGAAGGCTTTCTTGGGGCTCCTGGAATTCTGTATAACTTGCCTGTGAGCATGCTATTGTCATGTAAGAAATTGTTGCATGGTAATATTTTGGATTGTCTCATTTATTAAATTGACATTAAGAGCCTTTGTAATTTATGATAAACATTGAAGACATTTCTTCAAATATTTGCAGCGATGTGCGAGATATAACATTGGTTTGCTTTATTCTACTGGGAAACATATAAATCCAGAATGTTGAATTTGTGCTGTAGCTACATGTAATAAAGCGATTATTTGTTTTCATTTTAATATTTTTTTCCAAAGTTTAATTTTAGATAGTTGAAGATCAAGATTCGTAAAAGATCAGCTGGCAAACTTATATACATGGGCACTCTTGTAATTCAATCCTGCAAAAGAAAAATTCCAACATTACATTCATGCAAAGTAATTTATTAAAATTGAAAAGGTGGAAAATGTTTTCAACTATGTTAATAAAAGAAATGTTGGTTTTTCTATCTTAAGCATTTTGGATTATTAGAATATAAATATTTCACCACAGCTTGGGGAAAAAATGAACAAAAGAAGCTTGCTGACCATCAACATTTCTTTTTAAAAGGTTACCAGCAACAGCAGCAACCTGCCACCAGTCCAACTGCTTCCTATGGCCAGCAGAGCTATGGAGGTAGCCAGCAGTCCACAGGAGGCTATAACTCTGGCAGCAGTGGTGGGGGTGGGGGATCTGGCTACGGCGGGGGACCACAGTCCAGCTACGGCAGTGGTGGTGGTGGTGGTGGGGGAGGGGGTTCCTACGGTGGCAATGGGGGAAGCTCTTTCGGATCAGGCGGAGGCGGTGGTGGCGGAAGCTCATATGATGACAGACGTAGTAAGTTTTACCCCTTTAACCTTCAAAACTCATAATACTGTGGGCAAGGATTGGAATAGTTGCCCGAGGTGATAGAAATGTATTAACTTTTTCCTACAGGTACATTGCTGATATGGGGAGAACATTTAAGGAAATTAAATTTTTTATGGGAAGGGGATTCGAATACCATAGATTGTTATATTAAAGGTTAAGATAAGAGGCTGAATGTATTATGAACTTATAGAAATTTATATGCCCCCTGCCATAAAATGGGGGGGGGGCATATAGTGTTGCCCATGTCCGGGTCCCGCCACGTCGCATCACATGCAGTCCCATCCATTATTAAATTCCAAATACATATCACTGTAACTTCGTCAAATGTCTTGTGTGATTCATCTTATGTATCCTGCTATCAAATACTGTGTTAACAAAGTGCTTTTTGAAATTTTGGAACTGAACTTGTTTCTCAATTCAATATATTTGTTTTACAGACAACCGAGGAGGAGGAGGAGGAAGTGGTGGTGGTGGTGGTGGTGGAAGCAGCTATGGGTAGGTTTTCTTTATCATATACACTACAGAGGTAAACTGCACAAGAAATTGTTTATGACTATGGGTTGAAATAGAAATGAGTGTTACCAATGGTACAATCAATAAGCAAGGAGTTGAAAACTTCAGTATCATATAGATGTATGACTTAATTGTAACAACGCTGGTCTTCAATCATGGTGACGAGAAACCCTTCAAAGGGTTTGTACAATATTTACAAATTATCATTTACTGTCCTATTGGCTACTACAGTGATTTCAAGGTGATTCCCCCAAGGTAAAGGGTGTCGATATATGTAACAATGGCTACGAAGAAAGGTTGAACATGAAAAAAGGTTGAATTATGTATAAAATAAAAAATGGGTAAAGGAAAGGTTGAACTGTATATATGAAATAATACATGGGTAAACTTAAAAAAACTGAATATGTGTAGTAAACTGTTGATATTCAGTGTAGGACAAATGTCCGTGATGAGTTTAATGTGTGTATGTCTTTGTTATGCATAATCCTTTTTCCATTTCTGAAGACTTTCTACCAGGTGACCAATGAGAATTCACAATCAACTACCGACTTAAATGCAATCAAATGGTTAATCAAAAGTCGGCGCAAAAAAAAATGGGGTTTTATGACAAGCAAAATGGACTCGCTGGATTTGTGTTTAGGAATTGTTACTGTTCAAGGTATAATGGTATTAGATGAGGTATGAAACATTAGGAACTATTACAGTGCAATCTTTTAACTAATCTCAAACACAACACAACTTCAAATATTTGAAAATAACCTGGAATCCAAAGTTAGACCTGAAATCAAAGCAGGTTGCTTCCTGGTTCAGTGACTCCAAAAATAGGCTAAACAGGTCAAATATTTTTTTTAATCCTAGATAATCACAACCAATTTTACAAAACCATGATAATATGGGATTTAAATAGTTCCTGCCTGTAATTAATAGAATAAAAACCAAAATCTTCCCTGTTTAGAGTAAGTAGTAAAATTGGAAGGGAATTCAGAATTATATTTGTCTGACATGACGAGGAGGAATCTAAATAACTTAGGTCCTGGGCCCACTTGTATAAAACATCTCAACTCTTTTGATATTTCCTCGAGTCTAAGATTTCCCATAGACGATACATTGCTTGAGATTTTCCTTAACTTTGAGATGTTTTATACAAGTGGCCTCAGGTCAATCATAGTGAAAATTGATTGTGGCTATAATAACATTGGGTTCTGTAACAAAACTGTCAATGTGTCGAAAAGGGGGGGTGGGGGTGTCTTTCAGGTTTGAAACTGAACTAAATGTAAAATGATAGGGTATGTAGTCTAAAGTAGGTATTGTATTATCTTTTATGAAATAGTTTAGTAAAATGGAACAGGGATGAATGGTTTATTTACATTTCTTGTTAAAATTGTCCATGCAAACTGTTTAAAAAAACCTGAAATGCACATATTTCTTAGTTTGGTGAAGTTTAAAAGACACTTGTAACTTGGCAGATATTGCAATCAAGAGTATAGCCAATTAAGACTGGCTGTGTAAATGAGGTAAACAGGTTACAGAGCTCATTGGTTGTTAATAAAACATTAACATTTACAAAAACACCCTATCAATAACCTCATGTTACTGATGGATCTAAAGATGAAAATATTCAGAACTGGTTTAGTATCAGAGTTAGATATTTGGCAACAGAATGGATGTAAATATAATTTACATCTGTTGCTTTATAAGTCTTCTGAAAGCATAATGCCTTAAAAATAAACAACAAGTTGGGGAGGCATATTGATTTTTAGTAGGGGAAAATGGTGTACTTTGCTTCAAACAGAATTGAACCCTAAACAGAGTTGGTTCACAATCTAAAGGTTAAGTACTAGAAACGATGGTATAAAAGGTTGCATAAATACAAAGTGTGTTGGCAGTCCAGCGAGTCCTTTGCTGATAAAAGAACAAGTGTGTAAAACATAAATTTGGCGTCTGAAGTGGCTCTGGTTATCAAACAAGTAGGATCCTATGTATCTATGCATGGACTGGTACAACTAAATCAAAGATCGTGTTACAAACTGCACTTAGAATATGACGGTATCTCTGTTGGAGTGGAGAATATGACGGTATCTCTGTTGGAGTGGGAACAAGGTTCTGTTGTACTCTGTTCACACAAGTCCTGCAACTGATTTCAAATAATATGTCTCTGCAGATGCACAAGTAGTCCTTTTATGATATATATTATAAAAATGTTTTTATTTTTATTTTTTGGTATTTCTTAGGCTTTTAAAAAAAATAAGCAATTTAGTAAGTCGGCAATAGTTTGAGAATTTACTATACCCGATATTCCTGTAACGCTGCATGTTTGAGCGACATGAAATGATGAGTGTGGATAGGAGCCATTTTTGAAAGTATTTCCATCTCATTAACTTCTATATCATTAATGTTGTTGGCCGTCATATGAGCAGCTACCAAGAAACGCATTACAAGTCCTTGTATGCTGATTAGTTTAATCATCTCCTGTACCCTGTCATTATCGAAAGAAATATAATAATCAAATTTTAATTTCAAATTCAAACCTTGTTATCCATTTTCAAACTAATGACTTGGCATGATCAATTTCAATTTCATTTTTTTTCAAGCAGAACCTTTAACGCTTCCTTGTCAACTGAAATCACTGAAAATATACGTAACTATGCTGTGTAAGATTGCCTCAACAACTGGTGATATTCCCACTCTTGTTTTTACTTCACTTTTAATTGGATTCTACGTGAAACACATTAGGGGATTTATTTAACATGCTTATGTTCAGAAAATGAATGACCTCTAATGAGCAGGAGACAAAGGTTTAGAAATCTTGCTTTCTTTTACAAATATTCATCATAACTTTGCAAGTGTAACTGCGTGGCCAAGTACGTAGTTCTCATAGGGTGCCAGCTCATTCACGTTGATTTTGCCAAATCAGTTAAGCATAGTCATATGCATGTTAACACTTCGACATTTTTTTCAATTTACAAAATGGTGTAAAAGCCTATTCTTCAAAGGATAGGATATTTAGAGCCAGTGAATTTTGCTTTCTTTGCTATGTATATACACAGTTGTTCAGCTCTCTTAGAAATTACACTTTTTTGAAAATATAATTTTTATTTATTTTGAAACAGTTTTATTGATTTATACATTTTTGCGATTGTATTTCCTGCTATCAGAAATCACTTTAGTTTCCATGGAGTACAGGCTTGAGCTTTAACATCTGTAGACTTAGAACCTGGGAATTTGATTACAAGCTTGCACCTTTAATCCTTGATAAACCAGAGCCACTTGATAAAACAGTCTCTAAGCGTGTTCTATGATTTGACAGTTTATTTTGTACAATGAAAAGGTTGAAATGTGTGAAGAAGTAGTGCATTTGGGGCTTACAAAAACCTATAATAATCTGTGAAGTTTGAGACTGGTGTTGAGAATAAAAGTCTCTGGGAAACGGCCACAATATAAAAAGGTGTGAATCGACCTTGAGTAATAGAACAACACCTGGGTGTATGGCCGATTGTTAATGAAGATTGATTCCTTCAACTGATGGAGAAGCATTGTGAAATGTGAAAGCTTGAACATTAACAAGCAGTGTGTCCCACCAACAAAACTGGCGTCTTTTCTAAGACTCCTGGCCAGATCTCTACAGCAGCCAAGCAGCGAAGCAGCATCCCTGAAGTTCAGTATCCCTGGTCACCCAGCCGTACACAGTAGATGGGTACTGTGTGTGTTTGGAATGACCACTGGGTACTGACCATACTCTTTAATATATTGCAGCGGAAGTCGTGGAGGGTACAACAAAAGTTATGGTGGTGGTAAGTCCACGGTCATGGCTATCATGACTTATTACAGTTTCTATTATCTTATTACCACTGTCTACGTGTGTTAGTTGTCTCCCATCATTAAAGGCTAGGGGTCATTGTGGGGTAAACAATGTTCACAATTATGAAGTCCCAGTGTCAGTCTAGGCCAAGTTCTTGATTTTTATGAGCAAAATTCCCCTTAGAGCTAAATATAATTCATGCTATCTTAACGTTGATCTATTTTATTTTTTTAGGATTATCATTTTCTAGACATTTAAGTTAAAGAGTACTATCAGTTGATTTTTTTTAATTATTATTACCATTTTAATTATTTTGATTTTTCAAATCCTTCTACAGAAGAGTTCTATTTAAATCTTCTCTTGCTATACGTTTTACAGATTGATCGTTTTTTGAAACTTGATAATTAGAAAACAGTTCTCTGTAGGCGCATCATCCCATAGATGAGTACCTTGCTTCATTTTTGTGTTGCCTGCAAACCAAGGGAACAGGTATTATTTTGTCAGCGTCGTCCAAAACAAGGTTTCCGTGCGATAACTTGATTTCCCTTGGGTCAATGAACTCAAACTTGGTACACATATTGCATACCAATATAGCTCAGACAAATTTGCATTTCAGAGGTTTACGTGCAGTTTTGGTGGTGTTATGCCCCATATTGCCAAATATGGGCATTGTGTAGTAAATGCAAGAACTTTTTTTTATTATTTTTTATCAATTCCTTTCAAATTTTGTACCGTAATGCTAGAAACAATAATGTTATAAACATATAATACAGGCATTTCTGTAGAGTTTCAACTTTCAGCGTTTTGGCATATCTGTTTACGCGATAACTCAAGCCAGAAACACTTTTCTTCCTAAAAGTGCTGAGTTGGCTACACATCCACTCCCGTAGAATTCTTGTTTTTACTATTAAGTGAAAAAAGCTGTAAAGTGGAACTCTCGCTTTAATTATCATATCTGCAGTGGTTTCTTATAATGATTTAAACGTTTGCTTTATATTATAAACGAAATTAACTTGCGAAGTTGTAGATATTATATACAGCTAAGAATTGTATTAAAAATTTAGATTTTCATGAACTCTAGAGCAAATAGTGATGGGTTTCCCCAAAAACATAGATTGATCATTGAGAACTTTTCAAAAGAATCTGTGGTTATTTGATTATGAGCAACAGTTGTAGGGATGTATTGAAAAATGACTCGGGAGTACTATGATGTATTGGTCTTCAAGGTGTTGTTTTTTTTAAATATTTTTTTAAAGCAAAGTATACTTGCATGGTTTATCAAACTAGTGTTATGTCCTTTTCACTTTTACCCCTGTTAAGTTTTCAAAGAAAACATTATTTTGAAATTATCTAGATTTTTTGAAGGAAGAAAAAACAAAAACCTACAACTGTTTTTGAGAGTGAGTAATTTTAGAAGTGGTTCCAATGGGTGTATATTAGGAGTGAGTGATGTTTGTTGGTGGTAGAAGGAATATTCATTGAATACTTGTCGGTGTAGCGTTGAACAATATTAACAGTATGATAACTGTTTTGTTAACATTACGAGTATTTCTGAATTTGACCTGCACCATTCATCAATCTTCAGATCAAGTATTCTTATAAGTTGCTGAAACCAGGTCCTGAAAGTGCGAGAGATGTGTATTTCATGATTGCCTTGCTTAAATGTTAATGTGCTTTGCGTTGTCATGTGTGTTATGACTAATTATTATGAAATATTTAGCATTCAGTATGTACAACATTCACCAGCGTCTTAAATTGCAAAGGTTATAAAAAAAAGCATTTGAAAGGTCCAGTATTTAACAAATGAAACTAGTGTCCTATGCAGCAGTATGTGTCATCATAATAAACGGTTTTAAATGGCTACGAAACCCTTAGAGGTTGAGGTTCTTTAAATGTTATAAAATGTGTTGGTATTGGTATGATCGGCCACCTAAGCAAGTGGTCTATATTGACTTGTTTGGTGACCATTAAAATGACTACTGGTAATTTGGTATGTAAACCGACGTACACGTTCAATTGTCAACAAGTTTATCCCAGCTCTGTACAACTGCTGTGTGTTGACCTGTCAAACTGTTGAAACCATTAAAATAAAATACAAATGGGTATCCAACTTAAAACTGTCGACAAAAACTTGGTCTGTTCACCTAAACAACAGGTATGTGTTGACCTGCCAGCCCTGCTCTCTTCAACTGCTGTGTATTGAACTGTCATACTGTTGAAACCATTAAAATAAAAAAACAAATGGGTATCAAACTTAAAACTGTTGACAAAAACTTGGTCTGTTCACCTAAACAACAGGTATGTGTTGACCTGCCAGCCCTGCTCTCTTCAACTGCTGTGTATTGAACTGTCATACTGTTGAAACCATTAAAGTAAAATAAATGGGATGTCCAACTTCAAACTGTCAACAAAAATCTGTCCATTCACTACTGGTATGTTGACTTGTAAAAGAGAGTATTAAAATGTGTTAAAAATGAGGTACATAAAACTGAAATGGGACTTCGAAATCAAACAAAATCAGCCTACCATAAATTGTATGTGCTGATTTGTGTGAATGATGTGATGGTTAAACCAAGGTACGACAAACAAAATCACATCATGCACATAAACAAGTGGTTGACTTCAAACTGAAGTATGATTATAAAAACGGGTTACAAATTCTAAAGAACTGAACACAAACAATGATAGCAAACAGTCTTAAGCTGAATCTATCAAATCACTTGAATAATTGGTATATATACATGTGTTGACTTGTCAAATCTTAAAATCTGTAGTATGTATTACCAGATGTTAGTAACAGCACTTGTCCCAAGGCTCATGGTGGTTCAAAGCAACAGTTCTGCTGGTTATGTACAACAAGAGAAATAGTGTTGCCATTGTGCAAAGTGTCGAATGATGATGAGGTTTGAATTGGGTTACAAACAGTGATTTGTAGATTGCTACAGAAGAGAAGACAGTCTGTTGCAAGTGTATTACAATATTGTATTACTAGGGGAGTTACGCCTTAACATGAACAGAATCTTAAGATGCTATACATTTATAGAAATGTCGAGGACATCTGCAAATGGTCTTTGTACTTCTGAAACAGTATTGTACCAAAAAGGTGGTTTAAGCTTTGGAACAGTGATTCTCACGAAACAAAATAACTATGTCCTTGCTGTTATTGGTAGCTTTGGTATCTTAGTCCTACCCTGGTTTAGAATCTTTCTTTTACTCCCTACACAGGGTTCATCCTTATCACTAATCGTGTTTCAAACTGAGATGTAAACGGATTTAAAACAGTGATATATTTTAGGAGTTTGAATACTACGCTCATATATTTGTTATTGACTGGCACCAGAAACAGTGTGGGAAAACCAATCTTGCTGTTAGCAAAAGGAAATCAGAAAATATGTGAGCACAAGGGGTATCCAGGATCGCATATAGGGACGCATGTATTGGTATTGATGAGAAATAAACAGGACAGCTTGGTCTTTGATTATCAAAAATCTAAGTGTCGGTGAACAAAGGTTGAAGCATTCAGATACTGTATACATGAACAAGGTGAACATTAGGTAATACATCAGTCCAGTGCCTCGTGCCAATTAATGCTAAGTTCTAATAAACAGGTTTTATTTCACCTTCTGGTTCGAAGGTGAAGCTATTGTAGAGCACTCCTGAACTTATGGATCTTAGGGGGGGGAAAATGTGTATATATATTTCATGTTACATCATGTGAAAATGTCAACTTAGGTGAAACATTAGTGACATCAGTCTTGAAACAAGATGAGTGACAGATATTGCAACATTCAAAATGCAATGTTGTGAGTAAACTAGCATTGAAAAAGTCGTCTAATGAACAGCATTTTTTGACTGGGTTGATCTAAATGCCCACCTGTGTGGGGAGTGATTTAAAAGTAAAACAATTGTGGAAATGGGTAAAAAATACTGCTATTCCATAAAATGAGCGATTAAAGCAAAGAGTTGATGTGAAATATTATAAAATGAGTTGGCACAGGTTATTGGCACATAAACATGGCATGTGCTGACTTGTCAAGACCATTAAATGTAAAAGGTTAATAACTCGAAAAATCAACAAATCTTAAAAGCCTTCAATGAAGTAGTATGTGTTGTTGAAGACTGACTAAAAATGGTATATAAGCTTAAGCTGTAAAAAAATGGCCAGATTGAGTCGAATGCACAGATGGTATGAATTGAAATTGATTTTAGAACATTAAATTGAATGTATATTCTTACATGTAAAGGCTATTGCCGATATAGAAATGAGTATGGCAAAGCAAAACACGAAAAAAGTGGGTAAATCGAAATAAACAACAAAAGCTTGCTGTAAATAAAAACAGTAGTGTATGGGAAAAAGAAAATGAGGGGAAAAGTTGTGAATGTTGAAAGAAATGCATCCAATAAGTAGGAACAAAACCTGAAGTAAAAGGTATAAAAGTCTTTAATGGACATTTTAATTAAATAGTCTAGACCAAATAATCAAACCAAACCTATAGCTGGAAGGTTGTTCATATCGCAATGCACCACTACTTTTTTGTGTGTTAAACATTTTGCGAAACATATTTGTTGCAATATGTCTCAAAATGTTGAATTGGTCACCAAGTATTTACTGTTAACCAGAGCTCTTGATGAAGATATATTTCTTGTCTGTAGTCAAACCCATATCCACACCCCCAGATTGTTCTTATTCATCGTGATTTGATCCCAAACATTGAAGAGCTCTGGTTAGATTATATATGTGGTTTCCATCAAAGAGAATTCTACTCGCTGTTAGTGTGCCAGTCCATTGGTTTATACAAGTTATGTTCCAATAGGATTTGCACACGAGCAAAATTGTATGTCTTTTTGTACAGATCTAGAGACAAATTCAATATGTGACATGGATTCTCTGAAGTTGGAACCTGAATTAACTATTAAAGTGTTGCTGGGTTAACTGAAGGAAATTATTTTGGACAAAAACCTTAACAAAATGCAAAGAAATTGAAATTCGTCAAATTTATTCTAGACAATGTTGTGAAGTTTTATTCTGGAAAATCTTTTCAGCAACACTTTAATCATAAGCTGCCTGAGTAATGACATGTAAATAACACCGAAATAACCTTTACAGGAAGGGATGATGACGGTGGCAGTGGACGCCCAGAGATGGAACAGATGATGGACACTATCTTTGTGTCAGGACTCAGTGAGGATGCTGATGAGGACGCTCTTGTCAACCACTTCGGAAGCATTGGTGTCATTAAGGCGAGTAAAAGCCCTCAACGTCCTCTTCGTATGATAATAGTATTATAGCATGCAGATAAAAATGTCAATATTATAGGAACATTTCAGTTAACCTGTGTTTCCTTTTTCATTAGACTGACCGTAGGACCGGCAAGCCAAAGGTGTGGATTTACAAGGATAAGATATCTGGCAGACACAAAGGCGAGGCCACCATTACCTATGATGATAGTGAATCTGCCAAGGCAGCCATCAACTGGTTTAATGGTTAGTATAGAAAAAGGAAGCAGTGAGAGAGATAAGAATTTACTGCAGCACGGACCCTTTGTCCATTCTCCATGTCTCTGTGGTTGCTGTGGAGTGTCGGTGCTGTATCAAACAACTCCTGTAAATTTATTTCTGTTTCTGTATAATTTTCATGCAGCTGGGGATGATCTTAGAATAAATTTACTGTGGGGAAAAAAAATCTTATGAAAGAGTCAACGAAGCAATGGGCAACCAAATTAATTAAACAGAATGAAATGAAAATACACAGGGGACCCAGTCAGTTACTTTCTTGCAATAAATCTGAAGTATAATGCAGAATTTCTTGGAATATGAGAATAAGTTGTTAACTGTTATACATAATATGGCTTGCTCTTGTGCGTAGCATAGTCTACTTCAAAAAAAAATTGGCAGACCTGTCAAAACTTAAAAAACACAGAAAAAGGCCATTGCATCCATCCTTCTTTCAGAAATTATCTAGCTTGATTCAGTGGTCAATCTTGAGAATACAATAAAATAAAGCAGCATTTATGTATTGTGTAGTCGTGTAATAAATATAAATATTAAATAACATTTTCTCTCCTGGGAAACAGAGAAGGACTTCAATGGAAAGACCATCAAGGTTGAGATTGCAGAGAGGAAGATCAATCCTCTGGCAATGAGAGGAGGCCGTGGAGGAGGACGAGGTAGTTTCCGTGGCGATCGTGGTGACCGTGGTGGCGACCGTGGAGACCGCGGCAGAGGAGGATATGGAGGTGGTCGAGGTGGTGGTGGTGGAGGTGGATCAGAAAGGTCCGGAGACTGGGTTTGCGATGAAGATGGCTGTAGCAACAAGAACTTTGCCTGGAGGAATTCATGTAATCTCTGTAATAGTCCCCGCCCAGACGGTGGTGATGACGATGGCGGCTCTGGAGGTATGTACTCTAGATGGTCTTCCTCAAGTGGGTGTAGCTAATTCAAGTAAAGCTTCTGATAGCTTCTAAACAATTACTATCTCGGCTGCAATTTTAATAGGATTTGCTGAATTGTCCGTGTATATTTGGAGGTGAAATATAATTATTGAATCTCGCTTTGGTCGATTTCATGGGGTGATGGATTGAGTTGGTCTTGAAACAAATTAAATGAACTGGAAGCAGTTTATGTTGAATTTGTTTCAAGACCAACTCAATGCATCACCCCAAGACCAACTCAATTCATCACCTCATGAAATTGACCAAAGCGAGATTCAATCAATATAATTCAATCAACTTTTTTCCTTCTTTAATAATTGGAACTTGCTAAGTCAATTCTGATCGTTTGACCCATGTTCTGGAGCTTGTGCAAGTCTACGTAATGACATAATGTAAAAAAAACTAGCTCCAAGTTGAGAGCCGCTAGATTTCGAGATTCTACATCTTCTGGAATGTGCAGCTGCAGTAATTGAACGTCAAATTAGACAGAAACCAGATGTGGCTTGAACGGACGAAACATTTGATATGAAATTTGGCTGTTCAACCGTATTTCATATAAGACGGGACCACATGGGTTTGTTACAAATGTCTGAAATACACATGCTATACTGATATTGGTCACAGCACACATAAACATACATTTATACACACATGCTATACTCATATTGGTCACAGCACACATAAACATGCATTATGTGTGCTGCTTTGACGCATATCAGTTAAAGCATATGTGTATTTCAGACATTTGTACAGAACCCCTATGGATCTACGTTACTTACACAAGGCAGAATGGGTAGCTGGAGGGAGATTTTCAAGGGCAGTACAATGACTTGTCACTACTGCTACCAACCGTGAGCCGAGAATATTTTGCTATTTTAGTAATGTGAATTTTTTATTGAAACAAGTCAAAAGTTATCTCCCTTTGCAAAATCATATGCACAGGCAATGTTAATCTGGTCATATTCATCGGCAAATGAACGGGTTATATTTGGTATTTGCATCGAGTCCAACTTGAGAAGGAATTGAAATATTAACATTTTAACTGAATTTGATAAACAGGATACCGTGGCCGTGGGCGTGGAGGTTTTGACCGTGGGGGTCGTGGAGGATTTGACCGAGGGCGTGGTGGCCCCAGAGGTGGAGGAGGCCGTGGTGGATTTGGAGGTGACCGTGGGGGTCGAGGAGGATATGGAGACCGTGGAGGACGAGGTGGATTTGGTGACAGAGGCCGTGGAGGACCTAGAGGTGGACGAGGTGGTTTCGGCGACCGGGGGGGACGTGGAGGATTTGGTGACCGAGGAGATAGAGGAGGAAAGGACAGGTCTGTACTAGCTATACAAATTGAAATTGTTATACATTATAATGAACTTGCATAAGAATTTTTCATAAAATGATTTATCTTATTGATACAAATCTAGAAATGTATTTTATCTCAATGTTCTAGAATCATAGATGATAGGTTCACTAGGTTGAGTAAGGTTTTTTATCCTCTTGCAAATAAGTTGTTTTCACATCAAATTTGAACACAATTGAGAACTTCCCAAATTCTGTTGTCAAAATATTTATACTTCAAGCAATCGACTTGTGAACTAAATTTACAAACATTTTTTTATATTTTTTAATGAAATGGTTGCTTCTGCATGATTTTCAAGTTATTTTGCATAAAGAATTTTTATTGTTGTAGTTGTTTTTATCTTTTGTGTATATCGAGCATCTCTTCATTAACTGTTGGTTTGTTGTGTTTACTAGGATGGACCGTGGAGACCGAAGATCTAAGCCATACTAGAGGGGGGAAGTGCTGGGAGGTGTGACTGTGTGTATCACTGCAACGACAAGGCTGTGAAACCCAAGCTATAGACATATAGACATTGTACAAATCATACAGCAACAGCCGTGTCAGTAAATTGTGCCCTTGTAACTGTTGCGTGTCCGTTGTGAATTAAAGACTGTTGTCCATAAGGAGTAATGGAACTACTAAGGACATTAACATTGATAGAAAGTTCCAGCTGAGAACAAAATAGTTGTCCTTTTTAAATATTTTATTGCATTTTGTATTGTTTGTTTACCAAATCTTCATCTCAAAGAGATCACTTACATCATGTGTCATAATTTGGGAAAATAAACTTCATCGTCAACTCATTGCAGTTATTTCAATTATATGTGGGATTTTAAATTTTCATATACTTGGACATATTCAAACCTCTACAAAATCAAAAGGAACTATTATAAAGACTGATTAGGGCTGTTCTGGAATTCTGGGGAGATGCACATTTCAGAGGCCCTATACTACCACCCATCAAAAATTGAAACAGATTTAATGCAAAGTAATTTATATGCGTTGACACTCAAAACATATTACAGGTACCTCCTCGCCAAAAAGTACTTTAGAATAGACCTTACCTATTAACTGAGCTAACACTTTTATTTTCAGTATTTTCAAAACTTTTTCAATTCAAGCATTTATGGAATATGTTAAAGAATAGATTCCACACAAAAAAATAATTAAAATTGAATATATTCACCTATGAAACAGAAGAACCTCGGCACAAACCACCACTTGATAAAAACCTGATAAATAAGGACGAGGTATATTCATGAAACCGTTCTTGAGCTCAAGCATTGATTCTGTGCTCGAACTATCTTGTGACTTGCTAAATTTCATGTGACAGGGTCAGAAGTTCAAAAGTTAATGTAGACATTGAAAATCTTCTTTGTCTTCATAATTCCTCCATATCATTGAGAGAGAAAAAACAGCTCCCCAGGGCAAATTGGGGTATTGTCATCTGCATTCATCCGTGAAGTGCTTCTCTAAACCAATGGCTAGATTTAAACAAAATTTTGTAGAAAAGCATTCTTTGGTGATGGGGAATCGTATTTGGAAAGGATAATGGCTGGCCTTCTTGAGGGGTAAAATTTGGGCATAAAAAAACCTTAAAACAGCTGTTGGATTGTTTTGATATTGGTTATGTAGCACCCTTAATATTGTTCTACAAAAAAAAAAAAAAAAAAAAAGTCTTTCCATAAATTGTACATCTATCTGTGGAATCACTGTATCTTATAACACTAGACCTTGTTGTTTTGAAGAAAAGAAAGAACAAGAGTCGTGATATTAATTAACTTGCTGGCATGGAGTGCTATGAAGTTTGCAAAAAGAAATTACCTTGATATATATTAACTGGGTATAATGGTCTGATTTGGCAATCTGCTCAAATAAATTCCTTTGAAAAATGTAAAGATAAAAGATGGTGCTAGAAAGAAATGCCAAAAGGTGAGTGTCTTCAGGCCCCTTGGGCCTCTCTTTATGATTTCATCATCAGACAAAAATGTGATTGATGAAGACATTTTATTAACAACATTATTATTTCAAAGGCAAAACTTCGATCATTATGATGCACCTGAGAAATAACTCGCAATTTTTGATTTCTTTAGTACAAGATCAACAGCATACCAAAGATATAGATCAATGAACAAACCTTAGATGTCTCCACATAATATATTGTGATTTAATGAAAGTACTCTTGTAAACAATCCTCACAATGGGAATTCCTCGGACTTGAACCATGTACAGATTGGAATGCTACAGGGTTACGTGCTAATACAGCTTTTGTAACATTTAAAAAGTATTTTCAATTAATCCTTATAATTAAACATATTTATGACTTGTATTACATACATTTTCATATGTAAGAGAAAAGAAGCTTGGAGCTTGCATTCCCAAAGCAACAAGGGTACCGCGGGGCGGAACAATATACGCCTGTCGAATGCCATATAGTGTTATATACTTTCTTACATTGAAATAAGATCTGCATCATTCAAAGAGTGGGTAGCTGACATGCTATAAAAATGTAGGAAAAAATCTCTGAATAAAAAAAATCAAATACTGAAATGAACAAAGGGCAATAACTTTTGCAAAAATCTTCGAATCAAATTTCTTTTCAAGGAAACACAACAACATTGATAATCTGTCAAAAAATGTAGAAGATCTCCAGTCAAAAAAATCAAATACTGAAATGAACAAAGGGCAATTTCTTTTGTCGAATCAAAATTCTTTTAAGGGAGACACAACTTCATATCATGATTACAATGTATACCAAGTTTCAAAGAGATCGCAAAATGTAGGAGATTGCCGGACAAAAATCAAATACTTAAAATAAACAAAGGGCAATAACTTTTGCAAAAATTATCAATCAAAATTCTTTTCAAGGAAACGTAATAACATATCATGATGATTCGTTGAAAAATGTAGGAGGAGAAGCCGGACAAAAATCAAATACTGAAATGAACAAAGGGCAATAACTTTTGGGAAAATTGTTGAAAAAAGGAGACACAACTTCATATCATGATTATAATGTATACCAAGTTTCAACTTGAACTGTAAGCCAGAGGCTAACTAATACCCCCGCTCCTATATAAACCAGAACTGTACCCTAAAGGCTTACTCATGCAAAGCAATATAGTCTCCCACCAGTAATGAGTTATGTTAATCACTATTTTATTAAAAACAAAAAAAATAAACAAATATTTCGCACAAAGGGGGATAACTCCATCAAAAAAGGTCGAAATCCCAAATTAAAATGCCAGTGCGCAACAATATAAGATATNTTAAAAACAAAACAAAAATAAACAAATATTTCGCACAAAGGGGCATAACTCCATCAAAAAAGGTCGAAATCCCAAATTAAAATGCCGTTGCACAACAGCAAAAGATACTGATAATTCATGCAAAGTTTCAATGAAATCGACCTGTTAGTTAAGGAGTTTTCCGGACAAGTATTTTGCAAAAAGGGGCATAACTCCATCAAAAAGGGTCGAAATCCCAAATTAAAATGCCAGTGTGCAACAACATAAGATACCGATCATTCATGCAAAGTTCCAATGAAATCCACCTGTTAATTAAGGAGGAATTTTCCGGACAAGTTACTGCGGACGACAGATAGACAGACATCCAGACATCCAGACAGGGTGATTCCAGTATACCACCCCCCCCTAACTTCGTTGCGGGGTATAAAGAGATCCGTTGAAAAATGTAGGAGGAGAATGCCGGACAAAAATCAAATACTGAAATGAACAAAGGGCAATTACTTTTGGAAAAATTGTTGAACAAAATTCTTTTAGGGGAGACACAACTTCATACATGATTATAATGTATACCAAGTTTCAAAGAGATCGGTTGACAAATGTAGGAGGAGATTGCCGGACAAACAGAAGTTTATGCTGGACGGACAACGCCATACCATAATACTCCCGTCAAATTTGACGGGCGAATAAAAATGCTAAGAGCTATTTGAGAAGAACTTGTCTGTACTACTGCTATTATATACTCTCTCAAATAAAAGTTGGAATTCTGATGTGCAAACAGACATTCTGGCCTTCATCATCTATCACTAAGAAATAGCATATTTTCCAACGAGATCATGATGATGACCATTTTACAAGATAAAGCAACCATATTTGAGCTATGAGCTTGCTTTTAGTTCACCTGAGTAACTGGTTTTTCGACAGTCCCCCAAACTACTTTTGTTGGGCCAGTGACTACCTCACTTTTGACAACTTTTGCTCTCTCGAGCAAGACTTTAACTGCCATTGGCGAGCAGCGACCATCCATTTGATCCCTCTGGTTCTTCCCAAGAAATAGCGATAACAAACTTTCACTATCAAAATCAAAGATGGCTGCCTGTCGGCCATGTTGTTTATCTGATCAGTCTCAAAAGTTGCACTGCACAGCTAGGGACCAAAGGAAACCTACATATCAAATTTGAGAAAATATCCCTCTGAAACTTCCCGAGAAATAGCGATAACAAACTTTCACTATCAAATCTCAAAAGCTGCCCTGCACAGCTAAGGACCAAGGGGATCCCTATGGGACTTCTTGAGAAATACTGATAACAAACTTTCACTATCAAAATCCAAGATGGCTGCCTGTCGGCCATGTTGTTTATCCGATCAGTCTCACAAGTTGCCCTGCACAGCTAAGGACCAAGGGGAACCTACATATCAAATTTGAGAAAGATCGCTCTGGTTCTTCTTGAGAAATACCGATAACAAGAATTGTTTAAGGACGGGCGACGGACCAAGGGTAATTTGAATAGCCCACCATCATCTGATGGTGGGCTAAAAAGTTTATGCACGATGCACGATGACGGACGGAAAGCGATCAGAATAGGTTACTTGAGCAAAGCTCGAACCTGGGATGCTCTAGATGGAGGCTCTACCAATTGAGCTACCAGCATGGTCACCTCAACGAGTTCTGCTACATTCCTTCCTCCTTTTTCCAAGTCTTTGCCCAAGACATCACTATTTACAACCCAGGTTTTGGTATCCCTTGCCCTTGAAACAAGGGTTGGTCACAGGCACCAAATGTAGTAGGAGGGGGGAAATGCACAGCCATACCAGGGTTCAAATCCTGAACCCTCCGAAATGTAGACAGATGCTCTACCAATTGAGCTACTTGGTCGCTGATGATCGACCCAGTCGAGTTCTTCTACATAACTCTTGACTGAATTACATACATGTATTACAAAGTTGTTAAACTACGATTTTTTTTAACACTAGAAAGCTCTTGTAAACTACAAATCAACTCAGAAAAAAAAGATTTTTTGTATAAACATTTATTTTTAAATAATTCAACAATGAACCAAATGCATGACTTAACATCTTCAACATTCTTCAGACCTACGTATCAATGTTTAATGCATTTTTTTCTATTTGAGTAAAACTTTCTCGAACAGACCCTACTATTTCCTACAACTGACATGCATTGTTTTGCAATCCAACCATTGACACCTGGTAAAACTACACGAGGAACTTCAACAACACTGACTTATAATCGGCAATTTTGCTTTACAAGTGTAATTTGTGGAGTAAATTGAGGGTTTATAATTCTTTTCATTCAAGACACCCGTGTGTCGAAAAAACGTGTGTGTGCATACATTCTCATGTACCTTGCAAATAGCACCAAGTTAATATGGAACTGTTTTGGAAATGAAAACTACATTTTAGGTGTTAATTCATGTTTCATCGATCCAGAATGTTTGCTGTATCAAGATATTTTCTGGAAACAATGTCTTTTAAGATTTGACAATCCACAACCAGCGACACTATCCTTTACCAATGCTTCAGGAGTGTTTCGTTTATATGTTATCAGCATCGTAATGTCTTTATATCAGATTGTATAAATTATTTCGGATCATCTACATCAACGTTTAGCTAGTAGTCTTAGCTGTTTTTTCTTCATCCTCTTGATTTTTGCTGTGTTCTTAATCTGAAATAAAGAAAAAATAGTTTTTTTAATGTGTTCACACATCAAACCTGTTCGTTTATACGGAACAACCGGTTTGTATGTTTTTAAATGTAAATCGGGTATAAATCCTGGCGGACCTGCACATGTTTATGCAGCCCTTGCAAGGCTTTGTCAAGGATCGCCTGAAAGCAGCATCAGATTACTAGGTCCGACCTTATTTAATAAACAAACAACTATGATCGTTTAAACGAAAACAGCCCACGTAAACAGTATTTTTGTCAACATTACAAATTCAAACAAAACTTTTTGACAGTATTGTTCTTGAAATGATTGCTTTTTAAATAAAATAACTGCCGTACCCAGAACGAGAATGTGAAAGCTTCAAGACACACAGCTTTAGAGATTCTACCTTATATCTGGTCATCTTTACTAAAGATGGTAGAACTAACCCAAGTGACCACTCACAAAGAGGAATGTATGTCAAAAGAACGCTATCTAGATAAGAATATCTGCCAGGTGACACTAAAGATGGTAGAACTAACCCAATTGACCACTCACAAAGAGGAATGTATGTCAAAAGAACGCTATCTAGATAAGAATATCTACCAGGTGACACTAAAGATGGTAGAACTTACCCAAGTGACCACTCACAAAGAGGAATGTATGTCAAAAGAACGCTATCTAGATAAGAATATCTGCCGGGTGACACTAAAGATGGAAGAACTTACCCAAGTTACCACTCACAATGAGGAATGTATGTCAAAAGAAGGCTATCTAGATAAGAATATCTACCAGGTGACACTAAAGATGGTAGAACTAACCCAAGTGACCACTCACAATGAGGAATGTATGTCTGAAGAAGGCTATCTAGATAAGAATATCTACCAGGTGACACAAGCTACCCCCTGTTTTCACCACTCCCTTCTGTTCTAACCTTAGACAATATCTTCCTGGGAGATTCCTAACTGCCCAGGGTATGGGTTGAAAGCTCTCTACTTTAAATTCTCATTGGTGTTAACTTGGTATAGAAATTAAGTTCATTTTGTTAATTTTTCATATCAATAAAGCTTTTCAACTAATGCTTGTTTATGTTCTAGTCGACAATTTCTTCAAAATGATAACAATTCGGTGCAATATAAATAAACTGATTTAAGTCTCGGGTTCAACAATTGTTTGCCTCCTCAAGTCGCATGTTGTTACTCACTGTCTGGACAACTTCTGATTTTTTCTCATTTTCCAATTTTCTCTGTTTATGCTCGTTTTGTCTCTGTCGTTGTAGCTGAAACAGAAGGCATACACATGTCAGTACAGGTATCTCTATATTTAAACATGGCAAAAAGTGAAATTAGATTGCCAATGGAAATATTTGTACCTTAAAGTACTTTTTCTGATCTCATTATTACTTAATGGAGTGGGTGTACATATTTTACTACAGGCACCATGCATTGTTAAACGATACTGAATGGTTCTTTGCTAGGGTATACATATCTGAGAGAAATATAGATCACGAACCTGTCTACATTATGCATTGCTGTGATTACCGTACGTATCCATATATTTCATTGTTATGTCATTTAAAATATTATGAGGTCGCTTTCGGCAGAATTTTTACATGTAAAGAACTGACTGTTACCAACAGGTTTGAAAAATTAGTACATGTATGTACATACCTTGGTAATCAAGTATTATCATGGTTTAAATTGAATAACACTGGATGGTATTTGAGTAACCCATTATCACTACTTATTTTAATTATTTCTTCACAATTTCTGTCCTGTGTAAGCCACACCTACACAAAGTAAACTTTCAAGAGGCTTCAAGAATTATCCTGTTTAAATGTTATTATAGGTAGATGACATCTTCCATAAGCATGAATAGAAGGATGCATGCAACAAAACTTCAAAGATATATTTTTAGGAACTTGCATCATTTAAAAACATGAATAGTTTGGCAGAGCTGATTACAATGCTTTCTTTCAGCAATAAAATTATCCTTTAAAATGTCATGATCCGTTTTTTAACACTTACTTCTAATTTTGCAGCCCGTTCATCTTTAAGTTGTTTTTCAAAACTTTTAACAGATTGTTCTTCTGCTTTTTTCTTCATTTTTTCTGCCCATGATGACTTCAGTGACTTGACTTTCTTTATTTCTGAAGACCTGTTAAAGTTTAAAAAAAAAATTAAAAACATAATAATACAATTTTTTGGCAGTCTAAGCAAGCACATGCCACGACGGATATCAATGAAAAGAAAACGTCAACCAATAGTTGCTCAAAAACATAGTAATACTAATAGATTGTTTCAATAAAAAAAAATAATATAGGATTCCAACATTTTGCCGGTTTTTTTGTCATGCTAGTGAAGATGTGTTTGCTGGAGGGCTTATTTATGCTATTTCTATGTGTGATATTAAGGCCGATGATTTTTTAATTAAGATCACTAAAATAATCAGTTGATAAAGCTATCCTAGACGTAACAGTTCAATCGGCAGAGTGTAATGAACCTGTGTATGTAAAGTAACGGATACAGTAATCAATCATCAGGACTATGTATAATATATTAAACTCCTGTGTAGCTCGAGTTTCCCCTGGCCCTGACACTAGACTCACACATTTTGACAGATAGATAGCTGGTCCCTCATGTCAAAATGTCCCGAGTCTGGTGTCCGGCAGGAGGAACTCGATGCACTGAAACGTAGAGATGAGCTCAACAGTACTCTTCTGTATGTATATTAATTTACCTAGCCATTCTGTTCACTTTCCATGGCCTTCCTGACTTAGCTCTGCCTTTCGGTATACTATTTAGTTGATCTTTCACTTCTTGATTCCGTTTGGAAACAGCTTCTATCGCCTTCTTTTCCATTTTTTGAAACCGGAAGCACGTGTTGGCCAAAACAGATGTTTCTAAAATAAAAACAATTTCCGGAGAAATATTTCAGGTCTTCTTTAAATTAGCTGCCACATATTGCTAGGACTGTCCAGAGACATATAAATGTAGTATATACGTCTGTGGGCTGTCTTGATATAACTTAGCGAACATGCAACTTTTTAGATATTTCATTAAAGCTCAAAAGGTCTATACGATTTAAAAGTCACAAAACCAGAGACAATTAAAGATATAACGTTAGTGCAGGCAATTTCGTCACATTAGTATGGGTTTTAGGTAATAATTTGTCCAAATACACATGTATCAAAATGCCGACGAGCACTACTAGTTCAGAAGAACATTTGACTGAAATGCCGATATTTTATAGACATACACGTCTGAATGACGTCACGCAGGACCATTTGTGACGAGGAGTTATTTTTGTTGAGATATATTAGAGTTAAGAAGGGTTCTGATTAAATTTCTTCTCCTAACAAGCATTAATTAGTTTTGATAAAATAGACTTTTGAAAATGATATCCGAATAAGGAACGTCTTGTGTTGGTAATAATTCTTACCTTTAAATGGTCCATGTAACGATAATCGGCAGCCACTAAAGCTTAATACAGTTTAATTGTCATGAAAAGTATTATCAAATGAAAACTGTATACATTACAAGTAATTCTTTGCATTGAATGAGAGTTCTTGGGCTGTTTTCCCACAAGTGTTCCGTTTTGGGTACTGTCCCAATTCGGGTACAGTGACGGTACGTCTCTGGTAAAACCGAATTATAATTTCACAAAACAAGAGATCCACCGGGGCTTGATAAAGCTATATTTGGGCTTAAACTACGGTGTTCAGAGTAAGTTTAAGCGTTTTGTGGGGATCAGATCAACTTTCGGTATATCCTGATAGGGGGTGTCATTTTCAATTAATTATGATCGACTATTTGCTTTGGTGTTTAATTGTACTTTGTTCTAGAATCCTATGGAAATACATTTTCTATCACACCGGATTAAATACACAGGACAGGGATACTCCCGGAGGGGCCCGCCATGGGGCCATTGACCCCTCAAAACTGAAATTGACCCCTCCATTTTAATTTTAATTTTACTTAGGCTACTCTTAATTTTGATATTGACTAAAAATTGCTGAAAATAGTTTGCTGCTCTCAAATTCCAAGACTTTCCCCTGTACAGTATTATTAAATCCTGATTGATCATGATTGCGAAAATGTGAATATCATATACATGCTAATCAACTGCTTTCAAAGTAAAACAAATATGATCATTTATGTAAAAAAAACATAGGGGACACCCGGGTTCGAACCAGGGACCTCTCGATCTGCAGTCGAATGCTCTACCACTGAGCTATATCCCCACCACGCTGGTATGCTCAACTCAAACTCATAGCAAAGATTAAGGCACATTTCTTATACACTAACCAATGCATAATGTATACAGTAGCGCATCGATTTCTTTTTATAGCGGACCTATACATTCTGAAATTCCCCGTTTAATTTCTGTTATTTGATTATTTCTTTATTCATTTATTTTTGCTTCCAAATGATTATCATCTAATCATATTTTGAACTGCCACAATTCTTTGAAATGCATCGCAAGATGTGTATTATTTGAAACATCTGATTAATATAATATCAGTAAACAAGCATTTAATGGTTACGCCCAATGTACAGGTAGTAATATAAGATTTTAATCCGATGTTAGAAGCATAAGTAAGAGTATAACATGACTATACAAATCTCGCAGAACGAATGTATCATCTACCAAGAACAAAGGTGTCTGGATTATCTCACGAGAACAAAGATTCTGGATTATCTACTAAGAACAATCGTGTCTGGATTATCTACTGAGAACAAGGATTCTGAATGGTATAGTGTGAACAAAGGTGTCTGGATTATCTTACGAGAACAAAGATTCTAGATTATGTACCGAGAACAATGGTGTCTGGATTATCTCACGAGAACAAATATTCTGGATTATGTACCGAGAACAATGGTGTCTGGATCATCTACGGAGAACAAAGATTCTGGATTATCTTCTGAGAACAAAGGTGTCTGGATTATCTACTAAGAACAGAGATTCTGGATTATCTACCGAGAACAAAGGTGTCTGGATTATCTAACGAGAACAAGGATTCTGAATTGTATAGTGTGAACAAAGGTGTCTGGATTATCTACTGAGAACAAATATTCTGGATTATATAGTGAGAACAAAGGTGTCTGGATTATCTACTGAGAACAAAGGTGACTGTATTATCTACTGAGAAAACGGTGACTGTATTATCTACTGAGAAAACGGTGACTGTATTATCTACTGAGAAAACGGTGACTGTATTATCTACTGAGAAAAACGGTGACTGTATTATCTTCTGAGAACGAAGACAGCTAGACATTATCCTGTGAGAAAGAATATAACTGGAATTATTGTTGGAGTATCTAGTGAGAATTGTGGTGGTTGGATTATCTAATGAAAACGATACTAGCTGGATTATCAACTGAGAATTGTGGTTAAATTATCTAGTGAGAACAATGTTGACTAGATTATTTACTGAGAACGAAGCTGGCTGGATTATATCAAAGACTCGATTATACTCAGTTACGATCAATCTGCGAAATACTCTTTTCTTGAGATTGTCAAGAATCCCACTTGGTCAGTGGTAGCGCCAGTATGTTCCATAATGACGCCCAGCAACGCCCTTGTATCTGACTTCGCCCACACTCGAAAATAACGTCACGATGTCTTCTACAAATTGTTGGTTTTAACTTATTTTTCTCTCATAAGCTTCTCCCAACTCTCTTCCCATGGGTCCGTCCGTTGCACAACGACTAGTTACTTGGATGAACTAAATCCACGGCACAATATCTGGTATAAACGGTGTAGCTGCCACTTCTGACATACTTTTTATCTAACGACGGAAGTCTTCTTGTATCATCCAATCACTTGCTGTTGCCAGGACCAAACTACCCTTAGTATTTCTTTCTGTGTCACTAAGGTCACAGACTGCAACGGCACAGTTCTTCATCTTCATCTTTATGTCGCCTATCTGTTCAGTGGAAAAGCTAATGCTAATGATAAGGAAAAGGGTGCATGTTGAAAGCTGGCGGTTCATTTACAAGTAATACATATTGGGCCTCTTTTCAACAACAATGGGATCGCAATTAAAAGTATAAAGGCTTGTCGGGGACGGATATGCGTCGTACACAAGTATTAAGAAGAAGCCGAGTCGGTAATGTTTTGTGTTACAGATGTCGCTCCATGCAAGGTTTCCCGTTTACATCCCACCACTGGCACCAATTGTTACGTCCTGCATTCCAACAGACCGGGTCTATCGTGATTCCTCCTCCTCTTACAGGATTTCCTTCTGTTTCATTTCTCATCGCTGTTGTCCTCCTTTTGAGACCCCTCCCATGTGGTTGGTTACGAGTGAATTTCGCCATTTCGACCCTACCGTAACGAGATACTGTTGTCGTGACTTTGTCACTGCTGCTATCGCCCTTCACTCCCTCCCTCTTCTAACTTACTGCTGAAAACTAGCTAGTTTCTCGCCGTTGCTGTCCTTGACTATTATGACATGGGCTCAGGATCATAATAGAAGACATATTCAAATCAAAATGTGACTTAACATGCGTTCATATGTAATATATGTATATATCTACAAGTTATTGTATGTAATATCTCAACATTTGAACCGATTTCCAAGAGAACGATGTGTTTTATTGACATTTCTTTAACCCAGTTGCTACATTTTACTAGGACTGTCTGTATATAACTAAGCAAACATCCACCTTTTCATATATATATATTTTTTTAAGCTCAAATTGTCTATATGATTTTAAAATCACCAAAACCGAATTATAATCTAACTTAAAAATCCAAACGGGCTTGAGAATTTGTTACAGCTATATTTTGACCTAACCTAAGGTGTTTAGAGTAATCTTAAACGTTTAATGGGACTAAATTTCGGGAAGAGAATTCATCCCTATCATCATTTGGATGTCATTTTAAAATAATTTCAACATGATCGACTATTTGATTTAATATTGAACTTTTAATGTACTTTGTTGCAGAATCGTGTAGAAATATATTTTCTGTCCCACCGGTTTTGATACATAGTATTATAAAATCCTGACTTATTGCGAAGCTGTAAAAGTAGTTTGAACCCATATCCAAGAGAAATATATGATTTATCGACATTCACATATATTTGATTTACGTCTTATACTGATCTATGCTTACTTTGGTATATTTGAACGCCTCAAATTTACGGGCAGTTATCGTTTGTTCAAGGAGCTACATACAGTCCCAAGCCCAAAGCACAGCCTCGGGGTACTTCATAGACAAAGAAGTCTGCTGACCAGCCTCTCTTGCGTTTCTAGTGTTGTTGTTGTTGTTAAGATCTCGTTCACTTATAACGAAAGCCAAAATAAAATAGCCCATGGTCGTAGAGTAATGACTAAAATTATCCTGAAGAGCCACTCGGATCCTCTGTCCTGTCGTTTCTTGGGTCCGCATCTCTGTAACAGTTCCTATGTCACTGTGCTAGAAGGAAACTCAATTTCGAAAAATTCTGAACAGGTTGCTGTACAATTGTTAGTACGTTTTCTAATCTCCGATTTTATATCAAATTACGAACTTTGCAGCAGGTCCGGAATCGTATACTATTCGTGACGTTTTCTTTTTAGTATTTTTGCATCTCCTTAGTTTTTTCCCCCTTTCATTTTTGTCGTTTTTGATTTAGTGGACGCTAACAAAAGCCGTATTTTACATTTATATTTCACACTAGTAGAAGCCAAATATTCCATGAAAAACTGACGACAAAAGCAAGAGAAATTACATCATAAGTTGAAAGAAAGCAACATTTATAAATCATGTACTCGCAATGATGAGAACCGATATATAACATGCTTGGAGGTCAATAACAGCACGCTAAAGAAATAAAATAATGATTGAAAATGCGGACGTTATAACAAAGGTAACCACCATCTTTATTATTTATCTGGTCCTTGTAGTTTTACCATACTTTATACGTCATTGCATACGGGTGTCAGTTTTAAAACACGGAACAAAAGACATAACACATTTAGCAACATTTTTTCGATATTATTTCAATTGTTTCACACAGAACAGTGCAGCTCCGGTAGCCGAGTCACAACTGTTACCAAACAGCACTTTGAATTTTTCATAATGCTGTGTCACTTCCTCTCTGATAACCGGGTTTCTATCGACAACAGACCCGGTTGCTATGATAGTTGTGATGCCATGTTTCCTGATAGCAGACTCTGGCATCATGTCACACAAGTTCGCTATAAGACCTTTGCAAAGAGACCGAAAAATTGACCCAAGGTCAAGGTTGTTTCGCGTCAGACCGGAAACACTAACTTGTTGTTCCGGAAGGTGTCGCTCTCCATAAAGTGTCGGAACAATAACAGGTCCTGGGGAAGCGTCTGAACTCACCTGTAGCAGCTTGGTCCAGAGATCATCTTCAGCAACGTTGAATCCTGAAATCAGTAAAGCAAGAATAAATTGTGAAAAACTATCTCTAAAGATAATAAGCATCCTTAAGGCTTTATTTTTTATTTTGACCCGTTGAATGTTCTCATCCGAATCTTTCCGTCCAAACTCATTAACTTTAATTGAGAAAATGTGCAAAAGTTATTCCCTGGCGTCAAGTAAGTCATTTGGACTAGAAAAAGTGAATGCTTGCATTAAGACCACATTCACCAAAATATAGCTTCCAGTCTGTCGACGGGGCCATGTTTGCGTTACTTTTATTTCTTCTAGCACACACTCTCTCATTACCCTGACATAACCACAGCGCCCGTATTCCACAGCATACACATATAAAACGTTTACCAGATTACGAAAGGGAGGCACGGTAGTCTAGTGGTAGGACGCCGGGCTCGTGACCGAAGTGTTGCGGGTTCGACTCAAGGCACGGCACTGCGTTGTATCTTTGAGCAAGATACTTTATTCCGATTGTTCCAGTCTGCTCAACTAAAAATGAGTACGTGGTTGGGCAGTGCTAGAATTGTGGAATGCTAGCTGTGAGCGCCGAAATGGCAGCACCGGCTGTATGCTCCCCAGAGAGTTGAGAAAGATATTGGCTGGTTGCAAAGGCCCTATAACCACGATAATAGTTTGTGAACCGCTTTAAGACGACCTACGAACTAGGTTGTGATAAAGCGGTATATCAGAACCTCTTATTGTTATTATTATCAAGGGTCCTTTAACATTCCCCATCTCTTCAAATCTGTACGCAAGACTTTTGACAAACAGACGTGATTGCACCTATACAATTTGATATAATTGATACAGTATGCATCATACAGCTATTTCGTTCATCTAGAGGACTCGTCGGTGATACTAGTTGCAAAAAAGGTGGAAATCCAAACAGGTATAAACTATGGTAGTAACAGAAGCGTTTCGTTTGGTTTTATTTTGTTTTACGTCCTATTATTAACAGAAAAGGTCATTTAAGGACGTGCCTCCGTGTGTGTTGTATAAGCATGCATGTGTGTATGTCTGCTGGAGACATGGTATGTTGGTGTACTAACCTCCTTGTAATAGCGCGGATCTGATACCGACTTTATAGTGCTATCTCACTGAAATACCATGCCGAATCCACCCATCACAGCATTCCACCCGGTCACATTATACTGACAACGGATGTACCAGTTGTTGCCCTTACCCTTAATGCTGAACATTCAGCAGGGAAAACAACTACCATTTTTAAGGACTTGGGTATGTTCCTGCCTGGGAACAGAACCCAATGCCTTTCTCACCTTGGCGAACGTTCAACATAAAAGCCGATTTTAAGTGAGGTATTACCAAGCAAGGAACAAGGAAATAAAAGGTAGTTAGAAGTAGAGAGAAATATACAGATCCTAAGTATTGCAATGGGTGCAGTAGATTTATTTTGGTCTCTTTTGTGTCCCCAAGTAGAGTGAACAAAAGCAAACCCCCAATTCTGCAGGGGTTCGAACATTAGTCGCCTCTTACGACACATGCAGTGGTTAACAGCGGGTGTATTCTTGTATCAATCCCCGTCCTGCAGAGGTGATTAACAGAAGGGAAAGTAACAGAGAGAACTTCACAGTTTTTTTATTAGTCACAACCTGATTTTTGCGCATTTCTAATCGAAACCATTTGTGTTCGCCATCCCCACTTACCAAACGTCCCAAACCACTGCTGTAGCATGGCAACCATGTGTGAGAGAACATTGCCTCCATTGAGACTGGCGGCCATAGCAAGGTAGCTACCGTCGAAGTATGGGAAGTACTGGATGGGTGACGTCACATCCGGTTTATCGGGTACTCCACCTTCTGGTCTGACCGGAAACATCATTTGACTGGAGGTACTCATATTCAAAACTAAAATGTAACATTACATTAATACAATTATACGATTACTCAATCCAATGAAAGGTCTAGGACGGGGAAATAAAAAACAAAAACAAATCTAAAATCTATTCGGTTGTGTTCTGATTCTATTACTAATTCCATAAGAAACGATATATAAATGTGCCTCTCGTTCTAACGAGAAGTCGCTAAAGGCTGACGAAAAGTTCTGCTTCGTATTTTGTATTGACACTTTCTTTAAATACAAAATGTAATTGAAAATAGTGAAGATCAATTTTTCTTGTTTTTAAAGATGTAAGCGGACGTGTTGCAACTGTCTGTTTTGTAAACCCCGGTTCAATGGTATGACTATCTCCATGGAAGTACTGTTTCCGTTTTCTCGGACCATTTGATTTCAAGGGTGGCATATAGCAAAGGAGGTCACTCTGTTTGCTTTATTTAACCTTTTTACATACGTATAAGTTATCTACGGGAATGTATTTGTTAAGTGTTTGATACAATGGTGATAACATTACTATTTAGGAATATACTTACAGAAAAATCCGTTGATAAATTATTTTCGTGTAAATATTAAGTCCACTTGTTCGTTTGTTCTTTGTGTTGTGTAGATGTTTGATCAGCGAAAAATCCACAATTCAAAGGATTTTGATATTTTGAAAAATACTATTTTTACAGATCCATTCTTCCATTTGCCATTATGCATACTACTGTCAATTATTAAAACCCACTTTTCATTGATCTCAAATCAAAACATTCAATTCACTTCAATATAACGGTATACCACGATAATCTAATTCCGTAGGTATACTGACCTGCGTCTGTTGCGCCGGTGACCACGGAGAAGACAGCACATTGCACATCTCCTAAAGCTGCCAGAATGGGCGTGCCTTTACTGATGCCCATCCAATCATATTGCATGTTTCCAGCCACGTGACCTGGCTTCTGTACAGTTGGCAATATTTCTACAGGAAAACCGATTTTTCGAAGACTGCAAAACCAAAGAGTGGAATGTTAGTGTCTGTGCCTTTCCCCATGTATGCTATTTTTTAAACGAAATAAACACATTTCGCATCTAAACAGATACAGCCATTAATTCTTTTGTTTTGTTTTCATAATTAATAGAATTGGTATTAATCAAACATTAACTTGATTAAAATATATGTGCCGGGTTTCTTTACAAAATGCAAAACTTTATTTTGAATCAACTTACATATCTTTGTTCCATGACATTGTCTTGGTATTGTAGAACCCGAAGCTGGCCGCCAGTTGTACCGTAGTGATGGGAGTAGCTAGGCCGCAGAGCAGCGCCACCAACAGGTCCATGATGGTACCAGAACATGTGTACTTAGCCACCACTTCCGGTCTGTCTCGATGTAGCCAACACAAAGTAGCACATCCGTGTCCGGTCGAGAGCGGGAGGTGTGAATCTGGTTGAGGTAATGACCCGAGGAACTCAGTTGTACACCGTTGGTCCTGCCAGGTATATAAAGTGCTTGTGGGAGGATCGTACCAACCCTCACACTTCAGCTTTTTCCACAAAACGACCCCATGCATCTGACCAGTGACCCCAATACAGGTGACCTGACGGCGTCTGTCCTCCGGAAGTTCGGACAGACACTGTTGTAGCGTAGAGAATATTTTTGACGGCGTCTGTTCAGATCCTGTGTCTATGTCACTCAGCACATCAGCCTTGGTAGCCTTGGATACCGTTGACATCACGGATCCACACTCCCGCCGGAGTAAACTGACCTTGACTGACGTTGTGCCAAGGTCAATCCCAAGGACATATGGACCTCCGTTAGTTTCCATCTTTACTGCTGGTTAAATGTTCATTTGGTTATTTAAAACCTTTAAGCATATTGCATGGTTACATGTGAATTTTTCCAGTAGAACATTACAGTTGTTAAAACTATTCTTCTTCCATTTACTGCGGCAGATCTCGTAGATATGAGTGCAGTTGCCGCAATTAAACTAACACTTTTATTATCTATTGGCTGGATTTATGTATACAAAAATATAGTGCATTGGAATGATATTGTTTCAATACAAAATTTCTTTTGAAAATGACGAGTACCGAATCTCTAATAAAACTTATCGCGCTCTACATTCTATAAATAGATTTCTCTCGAACGACGGAAGAAAATATAGTGCCACTATGCTATGTATTGTGTAGGCTAATGCTCGAGCAGATTCAAGCAGTACTTGGATAAAGAATGCAATGTAGAACAAATTATCTTACTGAAGCCACCATTTGTTATATACTGGTGATAACATATCGATGAAGCGTTACATGCTTACATGCTGTTAGCTGGTCTAGCTCCTTCGACAAGTAGGAGAAGATAACTCGTGCAGTGTGTTTTACAAAATGTTAAGGAATCCAGCACGTTATTTAGTTCCTAATGACTTCGGGTAAACTAAATAGATTTATCAAAGAAACGATACCATGTATTACAAACAGACATCTCCATAGAGCAGCATTTAGCCCGACTGGACATGATAAAAGGTCTGAGAGTGAAGACAAAGAATATTATGTATGCTAGGATTATTGAGCGATGGCATTTTTTAAGGGGTTACGTTTATCTAAATCATATAGAGTGGCATGGGGCTATATCTCATATAAGATGGCATTGTGGCTATATCTCGAATAAGGTGGCAATGTGGCTAAACCTAATATAAAGTGGCAATGTGGCTATAAATCATATAAGGTCACAATGTGGCTATACCTCATAGAGTGGCAATGTGACTATAAATCATACAAGGTGGCAATGTGGCTATACCTCATATAAGGTGGCAATGTGGTTAAACCTCATACAGGGTGGCAATGTGGCTAAACCTCATACAGCATGACAATATGGCTATACCTCATACAAGGTGGCAATTTGGCTATAAATCATATAGAGTGGCAATGTNACAAGGTGGCAATTTGGCTATAAATCATATATAGTGGCAATGTGGCTATATCTCATATAAGGTGGCATTGTGGCTATAGCTCATATAAGGTGGCAATGTGGCTATACTTCATGTAAGGTGGCAATGTGGCTATACTTCATGTAAGGTGGCAATGTGGCTATACCTCATATAAAGTGGCAATGTGGCTATACTTCGTGTAAGGTGGCATTGTGGCTATACTCATATAATGTGGCAATGTGGCTATACTTCATGTAAGGTGGCAATGTGGCTATACTTCATGTAAGGTGGCATTGTGGCTATATCTCATATAAGGTGGCAATGTGGCTAAACTTCATGTAAGGTGGCAATGTGGCTATAACTCATGTAAGGTGGCAATGTGGCTATACCTCATACAAGGTGACAATGTGGCTTTACTTCATGTAAGGTGGCAATGTGGCTATACCTCATATAAGGTGGCAATGTGGCTATACCTCATGTAAGGTGGCAATGTGGTTATATCTTATATAAGGTGACAATGTGGCTAAACCTCATATAAGGTGGCATTGTGGCTATATCTCATATAAGGTGGCAATGTGGCTATACTTCATATAAGGTGGCAATGTGGCTATACTTCATGTAAGGTGGCAATGTGGCTCTTATATAAGGTGGCAATTTCTTATATAAGGTGGCAATGTGGCTAAACCTCATATAATGTGACAATGTGGCTATACCTCAAGTAAGGTGGCAATGTGGCTATATCTTATATAAGGTGGTAATGTGACTATACCTCATATAATGTGACAATGTGGCTATACCTCATATAAGATGGTAATGTGACTATACCTCATATAATGTGACAATGTGGCTATATCTCATATAAGGTGGCAATGTGGCTAAACCTCATATAAGGTGACAATGTGGCTATATCTCATATAAGGTGGCAATGTGGCTATACTTCATGTAAGGTGGCAATGTGGCTATATCTCATAAGGTGGCAATGTGACTATAAATCATATAAGGTGGAAATGTGTCTAAACCTCATACAGGGTGACAATGTGGCTAGTCATATACGAGTGCAATATGGCTATACCTCATAAGATTGCAATGTTTCTATACCTCATATGATGTGGCAATACCTCATATAAGGTGGCAATTTGGCTATACCTCATAAAAGTTGGCAGTGTGGCTATACATCATATAAGGTGACAATGTGGCTATACCTTACAAAAGATTGCAATGTTACTATACCTATACTGGTTGGCAATACCTCAAATAAGGTGACAATACCTCAAATAAGGTGACAATGTGGCTATACCTCATATAAGGTGACAATGTGGCTATACCTCATATAAGGTGACAATACCTCAAATAAGGTGACAATGTGGCAATACCTCAAATAAGATGACAATGTGGCCATACCTCAAATAAGGTGACAATACCTCAAATAAGGTGACAATGTGGCTATACCTCATATAAGGTGACAATGTGGCTATACCTCATATAAGGTGACAATACCTCAAATAAGGTGACAATGTGGCAATACCTCAAATAAGATGACAATGTGGCCATACCTCAAATAAGGTGACAATACCTCAAATAAGGTGACAATGTGGCTATACCTCATATAAGGTGACAATGTGGCTATACCTCATATAAGGTGACAATACCTCAAATAAGGTGAAAATGTGGCAATACCTCATATAAGGTGGCAATGTGGCCATACCTCAAATAAGGTGAAAATGTGGCAATACCTCATATAAGGTGACAATGTGGCTATACCTCATATAAGGTTGCTATATACCTGATAGAAGGTGGCAATAACTCATATAAAGTGGCATTGTGGCTATACCTCATTCAAGGTGGCATTGTGGCTATATCTCATGTAAGGTGGCAATGTGGCTATACCTCATATAAAGTGGCAACTTGGCTGGACCTATAGCCCTATATTTTTATTATGCATCTAATTTGGATCGAGGTCAAGCAAACATGACAATTTTATTTGGTTAATCACTGATCATTAATGAAGCATTTAATTTGTTGTGATTTTGAGGGATAACATATCATCCCTACAAAATAGGGCTGTGAGGGAAGAAGATTATTGAAAATTATGCAATTTAAGGAAGAGCTTTCTATTTTGGTCTGGTAATGACGTCGTGATGACTCCAGGTTAGAACATCAGTGGATACACATTTCTTTTATGACACTTTTTAATGTGCAATACGTTCAAGAATGACGTTGCACAATCATGTCTAGTTCATTGAGAATTGGCATATCTCCACTCACTTATATTGTCTCTGAAACTTGTCGCAAGCAGTTTTCAAAGTACGATATGTTCAATATGCTTTAAATGATCTGTATACGAGAGAGCCTACTTCAGCATTAATTTCATCTAGAAATATTGATTTATATTACTTCTGCTTTTTCATGTATATTATTTTTGTATAAAAAGAGTGACAAGTCAATACCAATTTACATATGACTTTAATAGCACATCTTATAAACAACCAAACATACACTGATCAATACATGTTATTGTTGTCAACTTCTGTACAAAATTATATTCTTCTTGAACTTTTCCATTTTCAAGATAACAATGAATATCAAAAGCACTGTTAATATTTACACTTTGTGGAGAAATACTTGTTACAACAACTACTGTCCCCATTGTCTATGACCAGTGTTTTATCACTTCCACTCAAGACACCTCATCACCAATAAGTATGAAATTATAATACTGTTTACAAAATCTGTCAAGATGTTTCAATTTAAGTAAAGGCTGAAATGATACCTCAGAGATTGCTTTAAAAATCTCGTATGAATCATATGCTTGTTTACCACCAAACCAAATTATTGAGGAATATTCTGTCAGATATTGAGATTTTCTCCCACCATTATTTAAGAATGTTGTGAAACTAAGATTTCCTCTCACTGTCGTCATATTTTCAACAATGCCATCTAAAAATCTACAACATCATGTATATTGTCGTAATTGTGACGTCATAACAGATCAATTTGTGTCATCACAAACCGAAAGTCATGCAATGCTATTACACACGGCAAATAAGACATAGTCAAAATCATTGTATAATACATAGCACTGTGTTCAGTGTCAAAATCACATAACATGATTTTTTTTTTTAAATATTTGAAATACATGATTCTGAAAATATGAGACATGAGTCGTGCACAACAGGAAATCATGAACAACAGTCTTCATAAGTCATAATTACGACACCATCGATTCTGTACTTTGATTACTATAATTTCACATGCATAATTCTCGTAACGTCTGATGTCAGATAAAGAACCATTTGTCCCAGGTATATCCCAGTCTTTAAGATTGAAATGGACTTAAATCACATTCAATTTGTCTCTTCAACTCCCTTGGTCAACATTTTCCTGTTCCACTGGTTTTCTGATGAAAGCCTCTGTGATATTATCTGTGTGTTATCGTTTTGGTATCTCAATCCGAGCCATCGTCTGTATCGGTTTCATCTGATCCGGATCCCTTCCCGGAAGACGGTGGTGATGGAAGGATTTCTTCGTCAGAAGGCAGCTGTAATTAAACAACAAAACAATTATTTACTCTCATTTATCTATCCCTTTACATCAACTTGCCAACAGCTGAAAAATAAAACAAGAGGCCTTTAATAATTACCAACCTTTTAAATTTTTCATGTTTGGCACATACAACCTTATGACCCTGAATCAGTTCCACTTCTACTTCTTCTAAATGGTACTGACCAACTTCAACAATTTGAAGATAAAAAGAGATTGTTTTTAAAAGATACAAGATGGTCTAATTTGCATTTGAAAAGTGACGGTAGAGGGCTGATTTGAATAATTCCGTTGTGGGGCTCGAGATAAACAGTTGGACATGTCAGCAAGCAAATATGCTTAATCTTGTTCTCATATTCTTGTCAGGTGTGTTTATAAATACCCAAGTCTTTTTTATTATTATTATAATTGTATTGTAATTGACCTAATAAGCATATAAAAAGTAGTGCACTGAAAATTACAGACTACATAACTGCTAACTATAACAAACCTTCATGTTAAAATTGTGAATGACTTGGTTATTAGAAAAGATTCTACAGTTTAATATGGACTGGTTGGCGTGACAGAACATTGAAGAAATAGATGGTGACATTTTTAGAAAACTGTGTTTATCAGTCGTTACCTAACCTGGACCTCTTGAATGCGACATCACAGAACATATATCCGAGTCAACTATACCGCCGTACAGGAATAGCCTCTTTTAAGTTAAGACAATTTATACCCAAAGAACGCTCTTGAAAATCACATTTCTTTTTAATCATTCTGAAGGGCTCATAGAATTAAGCATAATACATTCTGCAAACACTTTTCTTCAATTCTTCTATTGTACACGATATCAATTACAATCTTGAGTATCACTAAAAGTTTCAATTTCAAATAACAGATGTTCAGAAGGAGTGAACAGCAATAAAGACACAATCTATCAAGTAAATACCTCTCCAACACTACTCTCTTTGTCCTCTTCACTTTCTTCCTTCTTCACTTCTTTCTTCGCCTCCTTTTTGACTTTTTTCTTCAGGGGTTTGTTCTCGTCTGATGAGCTAGAACTCGAGATGAACTCCTTACTCTTGTAAGATTCTCCTGCCCCTGCTCGGCTTTCTGTGACCTTTTTAGCTGGACTCTTGGACGCACTGGGAGACTTGGGACTCTTTTTGATCCTGGTAAAAAAAAAAAGGATGCTGTCTATCAAAAAAGTGTTGGATTGTGAATGTAAACCCTGCCCTAACTCATGCGATACTTTTATTTTGCTTAAAAATTTCAATATCATTCATAATCTGGATAGGATGTTTCACTTAAAGCTCCATTGAAACAATTTTAACAATTAATCAGGGCACCGGAGCAACTATTCAGCCGGTGAATATATTACAGGACAAAAACATATAGTAGGTTTCATCTACACAACATTATCACTAGTTCAGACAAAAATATTGCGCAATAGACACATTCCTGTTCAAAAGTCACGAAAAAAGCATTGGAACTTCAACATCTGCAAAACTGACTATTTATACTTAAAACATTTAGACCAGAAATTCACATGCTGCAATATATTTAATAAATCACTTTTTCTTCGTCTTTTTCTCCCCATCACTTCCATCATCACTGTCACCCGGTTCATTTTCCACTTCTTTCTTTGGTCGTTTATTGTATTCTTCCATTGCCACGAGGTATTCTTCCTTTGCCTTGGCGTGCTTCTCGTCCCACTCCTGCAGAACATAAAAAATACCCAGTCAATACACAACCTCAATTCTTACACCATGCTATTGTTTCTTAAAAGCTCATCACAGTATAATTTGACATCTGCAACTTCAGCATTGAATGTGGTTTAACAATGTTTGTGCTTCTACAAACTTGCATGAAATAGCTAAATCGCACAATGTATAAAAAGTATTTGCACACGCCCCATGCCTATCAACTTGTAAACAACTTTATCAACCACTTAATCATGTAATAAAACTGAGTAATTAATTCATATGAACAATACCTTAACAGGAGGTAGCTTCTGTAACACCGTACACTACTAGCGTTCCACCACTATAACAGTTGGAATATTTCACCTCTATTTCAGTTCAAATTTTATTGTAGCACTATTTAAATACAATCACAGTATTCTCTATTACAGGTAGAAAATTCCACCTCTATTAAAGTTAGAATATTCCACGACTGATACATTAGACTATTCCACCACCATCAAAATTAGAATATTCCATGACTATTGTTCAATCTATGTGATAACAGATGTTTGGTTTAGGTCTTGACATACTGTTTTATCTGTTATTTCCTTCCAGAGTTCGCCAGCCTTTTTGGAGAGTTCGATGATGGATATGTTTGGGTGATCAGTCTTCATTTTCTCCCTGTTTGTGTTGAACCAGATCATATAGCCCGACATTGGCCGTTTTGGCTTGTCTGGATCTCGGTTTTTGTTCTTCTTCTTCCGCTTGGTCCGCTTCTGACCAGGCTCTCGCTACAAGTATTCCATATTTCATCAGAAAAGTTTATAAATGACAGATCAGAAAATAATCTTTGTTTTGACGTCTGGATTAATATATTGCACTTGAAATTTAAAAAGGCCAACATGTAACACTTTTAATCCAATTTCACAAAAAATTCAATTTAACTCATTCACCCCTGAAATTTCTTAACCCTTTCACCACCGTAGACCACAATGGACTCATCTCTATAAATGCATGGAAGACTCTACTAAAGTTACCTAGGGGTGAAAGGGTTATGGAACTATTCCAACCTTTGAATTGAAGAGTTCATACGTGTCTTTAGATGAATGAATTAAGGCTTACTAAAATGCATTGACAACAATTTTAGAAAGGTGACTAATGAAGACTAAAAAAATCTCTGTACTTTTTTTAAATCATATAAAATTAATAACCCAAAAATTGCTATTTCCCTCAAAAGGAGGTAAGCTTTACAAGTCCCTTACTTATCCCCAGGGAGAGGGATACGGCTCACAATGGCGGTTTTGGTTCTGTTTTTGGTTTCTATGCTTTACTATTTATTACTTTGGATTTCGTGTCCTCACAACAGCCATGGCCATATCAGGATGGGTCTATATTATACATTACTGATTATAATCAATATTTGGGATACTTCAGGTAGAAAGATTATTGATTATGATATTAGAATTGTTTCTAATCTAATATGAACAACTATCAAGTGCAATGTATAGATGAGATTTATTTTTCATGAACTATTAACTCATTCACCTCTGAAATTTTATAATGAATTATTCCAACCTTTGAATTGGAAGAGTTCAAATGTGTCTTCAGGGGTTAATGAGTTAAGGGTTGATCAATGTACATACAACAGTTTTAGCAGTGCGGGCCTTCCTCTTTTCCTTCTCCTTTCGCTTGGCCTCTCGTCTGGCCACAGCCTCTGGACCGCTGCCTGCATCTGCCTCATCAGACTCAGATGTTGTTGGCGGGTTACTGTCATACCTACAACGGTCATCACTCCGATCATTAGCTGTTTATACCTTTCTAATATAGGGGCTTCAATCATTAGCTATGAATATATTTCTTTATACGATAACAATCTTTGTAGTTGAAACGTTAAAATGTTGACACATTAGCTCAGGTAATTGTCAAGAATTTCTAACAAGAGTACAGCAGGGTCGGAACAATATACACCTGATGCCAAACTGACGTTTAAATAAAATCCTCCTGTATTAAATTCTATGAAAATATTGAAATGTAATGAGAAGAAAATTCATTTGTACAGTATGTCTCCGTACCTCTTGAGAAATAGCGATACATGTAACAAGAATTGTTGACGCACCAATGATAAAGGGCTTTTTGAACAGCCCGCTAAAATTTTGTTTTAGATGAAAAGATTATTTTTTTTTGAATAATATTTTATGTCAACATTGTGCAAAAAGATAAAACAAATAGTAGTCTTAGATTTATTTTTGAGGAAACATGTAGTCAGAAACACATTTTATTGATAGAATATATTTAAGCAATAAAATATATATCTTACTCTTCAGCCACTTCACTACCACTGTCACCTGGGTTGAAGGACTCATCTGGGAAAACAAACACAAATCTATTACTATGTACACAATGTCACCAGGGAAAATCAACTGACATTATTCATATTTCCAATGTTGTTATACGGACCTGATAAAGTAATATTGACCCGAGACCATCTGACTTCCTACCTACACATGCTTTCTACGTATAAGAAGATTTATCAATCAACTAAAAAATGTTCAGCTGATATTTTTTGTTCATTAACTTTCAAGTCAGAGTTCCTGTTGATTTTATATATGGAATGTTTGATATTTTGGAATATTTCGCGGAAATAATGTTCAGAAAAATGAAGATCCTGCAATTATTAGCTGTACACCTATTGTGATTTACAACATATCAACATATTGGTACAGCTAGGGTGATAGGCTATTCAACATGTCAACAGTAGAGCATAGTATGTATGTACTGGAAGTCCCTCCTTTAAAGGAGATCCTTTGATATGGAGTAACAAGGATCTCCCAGTATAGAGGCATAGGTGGTAACTCTACAGATATTATAAAGGGGGAGAAGAGCCAACGCCATTCCAATATTAGGTAGGATCCTTTTACAGATATTACCAGGATGAGCGGGGCACGAACCTTAACAATGACATTGGTCTGCGACCTACTGGCTGTCTGTCATTGGAGTGGTATAGATGGTAACCCTACAGACATTACCAGGATGAGCGGGGCACGAACCTTAACAATGACATTGGTCTGCGACCTACTGGCTGTCACGCATCAATTAACTACCGTATCCAGAGCGTTAGACCACTGTGTCTATTTGACATATGTGGCGACTTTCCTTTTCTCGGGAAAATGTTATTTGACTTTCTGAAATTGCTAAATGCTAAAGGTCAAATGAAAGTTCTGGGGACGATTGACTAACCTGAGCTGTCTGTGTCGTCGTCCTCGTCGTCACTGTACCGATCCTTTCCTTCAGCTTTCATCCTCTCCAGGTAGGCGTCGTGATCACCGTCATCATCGTCGCTGGCACTCATATCATCGGCATAGTTAGCATTCTTCTGCTTCTGGTCCTGTCAACCGAAAATACTCCTATATTTACACTGTAATTTCACTGGTTTTCATAAATATTTAATTTATTTGTCTGGTGTATTTCATCACACAAAGATAAAAGTGGTTTTTGACATCAAGCAAATTTTTCTGGGATAATGCAGTTTCAGAGACACAAGTCTAATCTGTCATAGAAATTAGGCCATAACTAAATACAAATGCATGAACGAGGGCTACCTTTAAAGGAACAAATCAGAATTTGGATGTTCAAGTCAAACAATATTATACAAGTTACCCGTAATGGAAATATGATATTTTTCAGAAAAAAATCTTTCTTTAATTGTCCATGGTCCAAGAAATTACAAACAAATGAGATGAGGTAGGAAATTCTCAGATGGATATTGATTCTTATCAGAAAAACCAGGAAAATGAAGGTCAACCAATTTACATTTACTTTTCCATAGCAATATTAGCCATTCTGAAAACGGTGATGACAAAAAATTGGATCTCCACTGACGTTGTGTCTTTAAAGAAATGCGGACAACATATGAGAGGTTATGTTAGAAAATAACCTTAGCCACGATCAGTTATTAGGGTTGCACCACAAGGCAAGTCAGGGCAAGTAATTAAGGATTTTTAATTTTCCCTACCTTTTTTCTTTGTTATTTCTTTTTCTTTATTACTGGTGTATATTTTATAACTATACTTGGCATTGTTTTACTAAATTTCAATCACTCTTCTGGTTTCTTTTACTACATAAATGTCAATAATTCCAGGTTTTACAGGAAATATATATATTGCCACGAAGATTAAAATGTCAAAATCAGGAAACGTACCAGTTTTCCACCAATGTTCTTCACTCGAAGTTTCTTGTTACTGACAAAATCATACAATTTGCCATATTCATCCCTGAAAAATAGAGATACAGAATTATATATCAACAATCAACAATTTACCTTGATCATACATACTTGTTTTTTTATAAAAAGATTTGTATCATACTGCAAGGAAATGTGCTCCGAGATCAGCTGCAAACCACAATTTGCAGTTCCCAAAACCTAGAATAAATACTAGTTATTCTGGACCTAAAATATGGAATCAACTTCCTATTGAAATGAAGACTGCCCGCAATCTTTATGAATTCAAAGAAAAATGTCACAAATATTTTAAACAAGTATCTGTCTAACTATCTTCGTATATTTATGTACTATTATGAATATCATTGAGTGCATGTTGATTATTGATTGTTTTGTTGTTATTCATTTTTTTCCATCTATGTTTGTGTACCTATTTAACTCATTCACCCCTGAAATTTCATAATGAATTATTCCAACCATTGAAATGGATGAGTTCAAATGTGTCTTCAGGGGTGAATGAGTTAAAGAGGGCCCCTTAAGAGATTAGCCTTTATTGTTGGCTAAATGAGTTGTAACCTCTAAAAATAAAATATTATTACTATTAAGTGTGGAAATACCTAGGAGCCAACAGGAATCTTTACACAAAATATGAGTAAAATATGTCCAGCCCTTTTCATAGAAATAGTCATGATAAACTTTGACCCTGGTAGCCATATTGCTTTTCATCTCCAACAAACAAATAGATATTGCACTAATTGGACCGATTAGTGGGGATGTGTACAAAATTTGAGAGCGACCGGTCAAGTTCTTTCTGAGAAATAGAAATAACAAGAATTTCTTACAGAAAATGGACCACAGAACAAAGGCATTTACGAATAGCTGGCCATCTGATGACAGTGGTCTTAAAATACTGTAGTTATTCTTTACTTTCTGACTTGAATAAGATGTTGGAACCATAGAAAAAATAAATCACAAAAAACACAAAAACCTACTTTTCTACACCAACAAAGGTGTGCATGGTGCCTGACTTTGTCTCGATGTCAAAGTCAAATGACCTTAAACTGCCTGCACTTCTCGCAAAGTTAACGCTGGCCACCTCATCGAAGCGGATGTGCATGGGAGGTTTGTGTATGAATATGAACCCTCTCTCTAGTGGGTACAGGAAACCTGTGGCTGCTTTGTAGGAGCAGCTGACTGCATTGGTTCCAGAACTCCTGCAATAAAAATTTACATTTTATTCCGAACAACTTTGATAACTAACAAATTTTAAAGATATGAAACATTCAACTTAAATGTGTAATACAAGTTTAATGATTTTTCACCTACCTCATGCTTTTAAAGCCTACCTTCCAGATTCTTTAAAACTTACCCCACAATATAACTTGTACTTATTAACACCAAGTCTTGATTGCCGTCATAAAATAAAGCAGGAGGTCATATACTACGATATGGGGGTAAACTAAAACCCTGTTTGAGTTGTATAAAACATAGGAAATTGACGTAAGAATTACCCGACAAATGTCCCAGGGACGGTGATCTTTCTGTTCGTTACAGCCTTAAACACACGACTGATGACCTCGTACTCAAGGCCGGACATCTCTCTCTGTAGTTTACCCTCGTACTTAGTCTCGAAGTCTTCACTGTAAACAGGCACCACACATTACTTTTATATGTCAGTACAACTTACACTGATTGCATAACAATAAATTTCCACAAAAAATCTTTAATAATAAAATTCACATTAGTTCAGTGGAGTAATTAACTTGTTAACTTGTCCGGAATTCTTGAAAAATTCAAATTATAATTAAGTAACATTAAACCTGTTAAATTGTTGGCATCAAAAAATGTTACTTTATGTACATTAGTTTCATTCCTTTTCTACCACACTTGCCCTAGTTGGCCACCTTTGGTCATTTTTACACATGAAACTAAGGGATGTGACAGCATGACGACACATTCATCCACCTCTCATCACCTCCCACCACACCCACAACAGTTCAAGAGATTTAGTTAAAATCAACTTTGAGTTAGACTCACTCGGACTGTCCCAGCTCTAACGTCATCTCATCATCCTTTTGGAAGAGGAGAATGATAAATGGATATCTCGTCTGGCCCTGTTTGATTGGAGGATCCAGACTCACCTGTGTGATTAAAATATAAGAAATATGGAACAATCATGCGAAACAGATGTTATTGATAAACGTTAAATTATATAATATTAATGTTACAGAGGAACTGCATCTTTCCGAAACCCCCTCCCCGAAGAAATTCGCTGAAGGAACAGCAAGTGGATTAATAAATAACAATCAAATATAAAATCTGATTTTGAGTTTTCTGCTTGAATAAAAGTGAAAATGTAAGTCTGACTAACATGAAATGATCTGCAGAATGAAAAATTTAAAAGTGGATGAATACAATTTCATAACTTCTGAGAAAAACAATCATAAATGCTGTTGATTTGTGTCCCCTTTCTACAATCCAAAACCTAAATGCCCTTTATTCAGGACAAACTTTTGTATACATCAATGAAATCAAGTAGAGAGGTAGATGGAGATTCCAAAAAGATCTTGGAAACATTAACATTGCAAGCATGTTAATATTTCAGTGTTCTAAACTAAGCATAGTTTTACTGAAATCTAGTGCAATAAAATAGGTCACTGTGACACAACAGCTATAGCACAGAGAAACTAGCCTTCCTCTTATAGGAACAGATGGGACTTGCATTCGAAAAATTCACACATGACAACTCACCACAAAAAACATCTGTCTGCCATCTTTGTGCGGTAACAGGAACAACCGTAAAACTGTTGTGTAGGGGATTTTATAGTCAAAGGTTTTACCGTGGAGTTGTAGGAAAGTTGGGTATATCTTAAAGTCGTATCGACCCCTGAAAAAGTAAAGCTTATTTTATTTACATACATCAAAGATAGGTTATTAATGCAAACAGATCATTAACAAAATACAAGATATTCTTATATTTTTGTTCCAGTGCTTTGTAATCAAAATGAAAATTAAACACACTTCTTTTATTTTTGTTAATAATAACGTCCCCTCATTTGAAAGGACAAACCACTACACATCCTTTAATATCATAAATGACAACAATCTGATGGACCTACCTAGGTGTGAGACAATGTATTTCGGTGAATACTGCAATAGTTTCTCCAGTCGCCTGGATAATATCTGCTTTGTCGAGAACGTTCTCGTAAAATTCCTGTCAAAGAAAGAAATACCAATAAAAAGATATAATCATCATATATATATGTTTAAATTTCTTAACCTATCAGGCCAAATAAAAAAGAATCTTTTATATCTCCAGCCATCTTTTGAAACGCAGCAAATAACCTAATGCACTTTATTTCATACGTTATTTGGTTTTTATTATAAAATGTACATGTATATATCTTAGATTTTTCAGCTGCAGCAGACGTGAATGTCTCAATCCCAAGTCAAGATACGCTCCCGATTAATAATTAATTTTGCGGTATATAATTCAAATACGGTACTACATTGGTCACTGTATACACTGATAATGTTCAATTGCATAGAATTTATATTTGATTTTAACATTACTTGTTATCTGAACTGATAAAAGTGCATTTTTGTGACAGAATCTGTCAAAGGATGCAACTTCTTGAAATTATAAAATCAGAAATGACAAACTCTGTTTTGCTAAATATAATTCACATTTTAAATTCAAGTTATTATGGTAAAAATAATTTGGTAACATAGACATTTTGCTTTTTCTTTACTTTCATACACAGATGCCATCAATGTAAACACTTGCCAATAAAATGCCTATGTTAAGTAATTTATAATAAATTTGATCTTAAAACACTATAAACCATGGGGAAAAATTCTAATTTCATAATTACCTGTACTGGATCTTTGATCTCTCATTATTACTTGTACTGGATCTTTGATCTCTCATTATTACCTGTACTGGATCTTTGATCTCTCATAATTACCTGTACTGGATCTTTGATCTCTGATTATTACCTGTACTGGATCTTTGATCTCTCATTCTTACCTGTACTGGATCTTTGATCTCTAATTCTTACCTGTACTGGATCTTTGATCTCTCAGTATTACCTATACTGGATCTTTATCTCTGTGTTTTACCTGTACTGGATCTTTATCTCTGTGTTTTACCTGTACTGGATCTTTGATATCTCATTTTTACCTGTAATGGATCTTTGATCTCTCTTTATTACCTGTACTGGATATTTAATCTCTCCTTATTACTTGTACTGGATCTTTGATCTAAGTGTTTTACTTGTACTGGATCTTTGATCTCTCATTATTACCTGTACCAGCTGGATCTTTGATCTCTTGTGTTTTACCTGTACTGGATATTTGATCTCTCATTATTACCTGTACTGGATATTTGATCTCTCATTATTACCTGTACTGGATCTTTGATCTCTCTTTATTACCTGTACTGGATCTTTGATCTCTGTGATTTCTCCCTTTTCAGCATTTGCCGCTGCAAGAGCTGCAGCAGCTGGCTGTCCAGGAATATGGAAACGCAGTTCCATGAGTGATACAGCGGCATCGTCATTCTGGTGGAACTCCAACGTCACTTCACTCTTAGAGGTAGTTGTATGGGAAACGTTGTTGAGGGGTACTTCAAAAGCAAGTTTGTTGTCCACCTCAAAGCTTAAGGAGTTTCCTGATAACAGTTAAACATAAAACTTAACACTCTCCGACCCAACAACTAAATCTTATTGTTATAACATTTATATATTTTTCACAAAATTTGGATGAAAATTTTATGAGGACTTTTTTGGCCTGACAAGATATGGCTAATAATTTTGAGAAATGGACCTCCGTTAGTTTCCATCTTTACTGCTGGGCAAGTTAAATTTTACGTGTGGCATTACACAATAGTCAAGATGAAAACTGTAGCAAGGATTGTACCGACAAGACTATTGAAAAAGAAAGTATCTGTAGACACAAAAACCTCTATCAAAGCGACTAGTTAAACAATATGGTCGGAAGCTTAATGAAAGGATGGTGGGCCGTGTTTTTCTACCTTCTGTTTTATAAAGGCCTGTTCCGGGATCCTTCATGAATTGGAAAAAAATATAGAATTATTCTTTGTGGAATTGGGAAGAAATTCCTTGAGATAATAAAGCTTTTTGTTTTCTTAAGGAAGCAGTCTTATTCCGACTTAAAAATCACTAGTGGGATACATGGTTTTTATACCTGTGAAGTTTGCAATTCCCCAGTTCCATCCCTTCACAGATAAATCTTGTTTTTCTAAGGATGTTTCATAATATTTTGAAACAAAACTGGACAGCTTGTCAAAATCCTGCAAAAAAACACTTCATTGGATTGATAAAAATAACAGAACGACATGCAACATTTAAAATATTCATAACAACGAAGGTCAATAAATTAATAAACGTATGATGTGTTTTGGTTTAAATTAATATTTGATACATATATAAGAAATTACTATTAAAAATACAACTACAATTTATAATATTTGCATGATAATTTTTCTAATATTTGACTTTTCAAAACTTGAAAAGTAGAAAATTATCATTCCTTGGAGGTAAGCAAAACTCCACAAAATAAAACAAGAAATTCTCCACAATTCAATATCTGATCATTTTTAGATATTAATTCTGAATAAAGGCAGTGAACTTAAAGCTTTATCAGCCAAAAGAAATTTGATAAAGTGCACAAGAAAATTGTGTATACAAATTTGTTTACCGTTTCTTTGAATCCATCATATCTGTGAATAATTCCTGTATCCAACATGAACTTTAAACAATATCCTCTTGCTCGTTTTAACCAGTACACTTTGTCAACATCTGTACTTTGGTATTGGTCAACTTTTCCAGTTTTAATGTTTTTGAAACTAACACTTGTACTCTGCAACTTTAGCTTGCCTGCATTCTGAAAGTAAAACATGAAACATCACATAAATAAATATTTAATATAAGAACAATATAAACAATAGAAGATTAAGAATGATTATGCCATCAATGCCATGACCCTTCAGGAAAAGGATCAGACATTTAAAGGAAGGGTCTTTGACAGTTTTTTCTCCAGATCTAATGAGGTATACCCTGTAAATTTTGAAAATCTACCTATATCACACAACCAATTACCCCTTCCTTTTTTCAAACCAGGAGAAAACATTGCATGTGCATGACAACATTTACACACAATTTCAAACGTAAATCACTGGCAAATGCAAGGTTGTTAATACAACTGGAAATTTTACTAAGCTATGCGAAAAAATAAAAAAAAATAAAAAAAAATGAAAATATTACAACTTTTTTGGTTGAAAATCATCAAATTGTTTTGAAGTGTCCATGGCCAGGATTCCTTGTAGTGAATTTCAAATAACAACCCACAGCCTGCAATTTCAGAACAAACATATCTTTTTTATACCAAAAGAAATTTTGATGTTCTTATATATCACTGGTTAACAAATCGTTACCAAAGTACTGAAACCTCATTGTGCATCCAAGTGCTCTCAGGGATAAATGCAGGAATAGAAAGTTAGTACCTTTTTGAAATAGGGGGAAAATGTGCGCTGTAGTTGCACGTCTTTAATATTTTTTCTTGCTGTTCATTAAACGCTTTGAATCGACCACTAGATATGTATTAGAATAAAACGTTTGTGCGACTTTTATGATATTGTATACCATAAACAGGGCCAGCCGTAAACATGTTGTAAAATATCAACAATGACATGAACACAGGGAAAATTAAATAAATCACTCAGTTGTCGAACTGAAGGAAAATGTACAAGAATAGAACCAAGAGAGATATTCGTGTGGTAGTATTTCAGTTAAAAGTGGGATAATTTTTTAATGAAAAAAAAGGGGAAACAAATCTGAAATAGGGGAAAATACCGCCGAAATAGGAGATGGGAATTGACCCGTATTCTGTCATAAAAATGGCCTATATATATATCCATGGCTCTCAACATATTTCAGCTCTGGACACCCAATATCTCACCCCATAAATGATGACCACCTCCTGTGACATTATATTTGATCCACGCACTTTTAATTCGACACACAAATAAATGAGAATGTCTTGAGACTAATGGTCATTTTGACAACTATCTTACTAATGGGGACTGATAAACACTAGTGGTGAAATCGTTGGAACTTTTTGATCCATGAACAGCTATATATATATCTTGTTTTTCTACATTTATGAAGCAGCAGTAACAACCTCGTTCTGAAAATCCAAAATCCCTTTTTAGGTATCACCATTTCAGACAATCTCAAGTGGGGAAATCATATCGATAACATCTGCAAGAAAGCCTGTTCAACCCTTGGCTTTATCAGACGCAACCTAAATCACTGCCCTTTAACCTATTGGAAATCGGCGTACTACGTCTCGCTTGGGAGATCAACATTTGAGTATGTATATATACGTACCGTGCCATTATATGGGACCTATTTCTCCAATCTGACATTGACAAGTTTGAGAGTTTATTCAACAGAAAGCAGTTAGGTTTGTTACCTGGGACTAATTCAAGGAACACGGGATACATCACAAAAATGCTAAAGGATCTGGGTTTTCCGACCCCGCAGCAGTGCAGGAAGGAACTCCGGTAATGACATTCCTGTTTAAGGTGGGTGAGGGGTTGGTGCCGGCCATAACAACCAATTCAATACTGACAGCAAGAAAGAGAGAGACGTCATGTGCGAGCACACAAATTTGTGAACTTTGTAGCTACCAACGTAGTAGACAAACTGGAAACTAACAACAGTCGATGCTACAAACCCATCAGTGCCAAAACGGTCACGCTAAAAGTAATATATTTGTGTTTCCCAAGGACCAACTTTTTGATGGTATGGTCCAGTCAACTACTGTGGATACATGCAAGTCTCACCTCCACAGTGACTAGTTTTAAGTGCGCTCCTCCTATCCGTTGGTTTTCCAACACATTTCTACAGATATGTTAGATAACGGGTTAATTTGACTTTTTGGAGGAGTTCTAAATATTCTGATGTGACTGATGATATTTATAAAATGCATGGTTTGTACATACTTAATAAGCTCTCTTGACTCCAAACAAAATGGTTAATAGAATAGACAATTGCTAGTTTAGTCAACAATGGTATGGTGATATTACCAGAGCACCTCGGACTTCCTGTACCACATCTGAATATTCTTGAATGTCACTCATATTTGATAAATATTTCCTCAAAGTTACTTCAATTTAAACCAATCGCCAACGGTCCCAATGCCTACATGTCTTCGTATCGCATGTGGCTGATGTTAGCAGAATATTCTCATGTGGTCCTTTTTAGATCTTTACTCATTGGAGACACGAACGACAACTTCCGGTCTCGTATTCGAAAATATGTTTTGCCTGAAAATCCAACGGGCATCACTATATTGATAAACTGAGACCTGACTGATCATGAAGTCGATTATCAAATCAAATCAATTCATTATTGTATTAATTTCACTAGACGATTTTGTAACTCTGTGTCTGTAAAAACACGCTTGCCTTTCGGAACTGATATATACAACCTGTTAAGCCTCTTAACACTCTAGAAAATATGGCGGGAAATAGTGTATTGTTTATCTTTAAGAAAACGTTTTATTAATAATGAGACGTTTTTTTTTCTTGCATAACAGTATTCTCATTTGAATTCAACAGTGTCCATCTCTCTTCTAATGATTTTTATGACTGTCATTACCATAGATCAACACCGGTTTATTTGCCGTGTCCAAAACGGAAGTAGGGGACTGTGTATTGACATTACGTCACGGTTACCTTTCCTTGTCACTTCCTGTCGCAGTTCTGTCACCTGCAAGCGAGACAACCTGGATGCACTCTGCTCTATTGTTATCCAGGTAAGTCACGAGAACGCGGAAGTTTTTACTTCAGCAAAACAAATAACCCGAAACATAAACTAGAAGTTCAGAAATCGCACTATGAAAATTTGACACGGGGAAAATAACATGAATGCTATCGGGTCTGAATGTGTATGAACACAGTACCCTGTATTCACGTTATTGACAGTGCTTCAATACACAGCAAACTACAAAAATGACGATCGTACTATAATTTTTAAGGGATAGCCTTTTGGTATTTTAATAGAACGATTTTTTTCATGTTATTTTGTGAACATTCCATTTTGCGTGATTATATAATATATAATCAATGGGCAGCAAATTATTAGTTGAAATTATTTCAGTGATGAATAGAAGTTTCCATTCTCTACTGCATACTACAGTACAGAACTGAAAAAAAGTTTCATATGTTATCTTGTGATATATTGTTGTTAGAAAGAATTTCCATTTAAAAAAAGGGTGCTAAATTTGGATCAATCATTATAAGATTAAAAGAGATCGCTGTGATTACACCACCAGACATTCTCATTTTTCCTTTTTGTGATTTATTTTGCACTCTATTTATCATATTAAAAGTGCAGACGAGCATAATTTGCATGGATTGGATAACTACACTAATCTTAATTACTAATTGAAATCTTGCTGACCACATATTTGTTATGTAATAAATATGGAGGTTTACAACAGCTACTTGGCCTTTTTAGTGTGGAAAAATTCAGATTCAGATTTGCATGACAGTTCAAACAAATTTAGTGTCCTTAATCACTTGACATATACTTTTTTCCTCTTAATGGACTAATCATAATGTAATCATGCATATTTTTCAAGTCTCTTTATTTTGGAGGAACACTAGTTCTCCTGATTTTCCATTTTCACTTTTAACTTTGGAAATCAGCACAATTCCATACATCTAGGTTTTTGTTCAAATTCAATTTTTCATTGCACAGAATAGCTAGAAAAATAACAATTTATGCATTACAATTTTGTCCAATTGGACCTTGTGCCTCTTTTTTTAAGACATTCTTAATCTTAGTCAATTTCTCCGCATGGTTCCTCCCACCTGCCCCAGGGAAATGTAGAAGGTTGGCAAATATGTACATTCGATGAAAATTTTATTTCGTTTTGAAATGTTTGTGTAATATAAAAGGATCTTGTAAATTTATCTCCAATTTCAAGTGAAAATCATAAATTAAATAATTTTCAAAAAGTGTTCATAGTTCTTGCTATCTTACTGAAACATCTCTTTGAACTCTTTACAAGGATACATGTATACATATTATACTAAAATACCTCAATCATTACTAGTATCATAGTTATCTTTTTAATGATAAATTATCAACGTGATTAATTCATTCATCAAACTAAGTGATATAAATGAGGAAGTAGAAGATGAAACAAGACCTCGTTAACACCTGTATTTAAATTATAAATTCCATATGCTGATTGTATCTTACAGCCGGTGCTGATTTTGAATGAACATTATGAAATTTTCCTTTGAATCGATGAGATGTATATAAGATGAAATAAAGGATTTGAATTTGAACTTGTAAATGGATATATGATAAATTAGTGTATATTATATGTTGCTTTAATTTCATACTGTAGACAGGTATGTTTCCTAGCTTGTAACATTTGTTTTTCTGTTTGATATTCGTTTTATTGATTTGGGAGATGCTAAATCACCAAGTTACATGTGTTGCTTCTTGTACAGGGTGTTTGTTGGGATGCTCAAACATGCAATTTTAATGAGCATAGCAAAAAACTTGATTAATTCCTCTCGCACAGTCATGAGGAGGCAATCAGTGTTGTGCAGATTCGTTAAGCAATATCATTAACAGATCAGATGTCACAGATAATACACACAAAAATTAGATCAAGTACTGAAATACTGAAAATCTCATTAAAGAAATTATGTAAAACATATCATAAATATATATATAAATTTCTAAAATGTCGTTGAATATTACAGGACGGGTTAAATTGGTCTGAGGATGAGATTAGGCCTGTTTGGTTTGTAGGGATTGTTACCTGAACATGGTTGGGTTAGTAAGAATTGTCCAAGTTGTTAGCCCTAGTAAGACATTCCCACTGGTTTTGCTGCTATGTGATCCTTTAGTAGGTTGGTAGAATGAGAAGTTTCTACTCGCTACCAAACCAGTTTGATATAACCTCAATGACTAGTACTGACTGTAAAGTTTATACCATGTCACCTTAATCAAACGTAATCACTTTACACTCTATTGGTTGGGTTACATGAGCCGTTCTACCATCCACTACATTTTGAACCTTACCATATCAAAGACTGGACAAGTCCAGTTTAATTATGTAGGGGTGAATGAGTTAAATCCATTCTATTAGATTGGTGAATTCCTTCCAGAATTCCATCATTACGCCCCAATCTCAACCCCATTATACACAATATACAGTTTGCTCTTCTTATAACACCCCTCTAATTAATGAGATAGTTAGGAATTGACAAACCCTAGAAGTTATTGTCACTTGTCTTTACTAAAGTTGAGTTCCCATTACTGTATATCAGTTATGAATTCCATTCTAACGTTTCCCGTTACCCAGCATCCTGACTATGAACTGATTTTAAGAAGCTATTTGATGCATAGTTACTTAAGTTTTCCTACTGTCTTTTGGTGTCTCAATGCTTTCTGATCAAGTTTTCCTACTGTCTTTTGGTGTCTCAATGCTTTCTGATCATGTCTTGTTTTTCCACACTTATCAAATTAATGTCTCTAAATGTATTCATCTTGTCATAGTAATTTATTGCACAACTTTCAACATCATGGTATGCCAACCATTCTTGTTGTCTGCTTTTTCGTCAATTCTTAAAACAGAAGGAGCAAGCATTGAATAATTGATGTGATGGCATTCCGTCTGATCATTTTTTAACGACATTGCATTTATTTTGTGAAATGTGCTGGATCAGGGCTAGCTCTGGGTCTGAATTCAGTTCGACAAATTTAAATTTGATTAGTACAAGAATGCTGGCAATTGAGGGAGCATCACAGTTCATGCCAATCTTTTTAAAACATGGCATAAAATATTAATAATGAAAACTCATTACAGTTTCTTTTAACAGAAACTTTTTTAGTTTTCAATGTCAATATCCTTGTAGAAATCTTTTGCATTGGTGGTAATTCAGTTACTGATTAGGGTTAAAATATTGATGGATTCCTAATGAAGTGACATTTTCCATGTTTTTAATTGCTTAAAGTGAAAATGCGAAGACTTGAAAGTAAAGACTGAAATTACACATGCTGATGTACCACATTTCCAATTATGTACTTATATGTTCTATTTGAAAGCAAAGTTTGAAAGATGTACGTTTCTTTGTGATGCATAAATGCTGAATACTCTTTTCTACTTCTGTAACAAATCTTGGATGTGAACTGTTAAAAATAGATCTAAAAAAACCTCTTCTCCTGTATACAATTTCATGTTTATAGTATTAGCCTGGTGGATTTTGATTGTTTTACTAGCATATGGCCTATATTTTAGTACTTAATGTTGAAAATAGTCACTAGCCTAAACATAAAATCTTCTGGCTATTGGCATTGGACTTAATTGTGGTGTTGTACATCCCTGGTTGTTATACACAAATGTTACATTGAGTTTCTTAAAAGTTAGTTAGAAGCATCATAAGCACGTATGTTATGTAGTATTTCACAAATTGTGAATGTTAATACAAAGTAATGAAAACTTGATAAAATGTGCCGTTCATTCATATATACATGCATGTCCATAAACATTTATTAGCTTCACAACTGCATTATCATACTAGCTTAAAAAACCCATCCCAGAACTATGTGATAAATGAATTAACATCTACCGAAAGTATAAAACTTATCTCCTTCAAAAAGTATGTACTTCTGGCTTGAATGTAAATTGACCCACTTGTTCTGGGTGGTTGGCTTCAGGATAAATCTTGAGGCTTTCTTTATGTTCATAACCCTTTGATATTATTTGAATATTTTAATACTCCAGCTGGGCTGACTAACATCATAATAGTCTTTCTAGTGTGTTTCTAATATTGGCACATAAGTCTTGTGATTGTGAGTGCTGATATTCCCCTGTAAGGCTGTGTATTGCAGTTTATACCTGGATTTGTGGACATCTGTCACCTGACCTGTTTATTTATCTTTATTTACATACAGATATATCAACCCGTATATCTGCTGTTAGTATACCTTCTTCAGCTTTCCATTTTACCTTCCTGTGGTGTCCCTGTCAGGCCATTGGCTGGGAATAGAGTTTTCATTTTTACCTTCCTGTGGTGTCCCTGGCAGGCCATTGGCTGGAAATAGAGTTTACATTTTTACCTTCCTGTGGTGTCCCTGTCAGGCCATTGGCTGGGAATAGAGTTTACATTTTTACCTTCCTGTGGTGTCCCTGTCAGGCCATTGGCTGGAAATAGAGTTTACATTTTTACCTTCCTGTGGCGTTCCTGACCGTCCATTGTCTGGGATTAGAGTTTACATTTTTATCTTCCTGTGGTGTCCCTGTCAGGCCATTGGCTGGGAATAGAGTTTTCATTTTTACCTTCCTGTGGTGTCCCTGGCAGGCCCTTGGCTGGGATTAGAGTTTACATTTTTACCTTCCTGTGGTGTCCCTGTCATGCCATTGGCTGGGATTAGAGTTTACATTTTTACCTTCCTGTGGTGTCCCTGGCAGGCCATTGGCTGGAAATAGAGTTTACATTTTTACCTTCCTGGGGTGTCCCTGGCAGGCCATTGGCTGGGATTAGAGTTTTCATTTTTACCTTCCTGTGGGGTCCCTGGCAGGCCATTGGCTGGGAATAGAGTTTTCATTTTTACCTTCCTGTGGTGTCCCTGTCATGCCATTGGCTGGGAATAGAGTTTACATTTTTACCTTCCTGTGGTGTCCCTGGCAGGCCATTGGCTGGGATTTGAGTTTACATTTTTACCTTCCTGTGGCGTCCCTGGCAGGCCATTGGTTGGGAATAGAGTTTACATTTTTACCTTACCTTCTTGTGGTGGCCCTGGCAGGCCATTGGCTGGGAATAGAGGTTTCATTTTTACCTTCCTGTGGTGTCCCTGTCAGGCCATTGGCTGGGATTAGAGTTTAGATTTTTACCTTCCTGTGGCGTCCCTGGCAGGCCATTGGCTGGGAATAGGGTTGTCTTTTTTACCTTCCTGTGGTGTCCCTGTCATGCCATTGGCTGGGATTAGAGTTTACATTTTTCCCTTCCTGTGGTGTCCCTGTCATGCCATTGGCTGGGATTAGAGTTTACATTTTTTCCTTACCTTCCAGTAGTGTCCCTGGCAGGCCATTGGCTGGGATTTGAGTTTACATTTTTACCTTCCTGTGGGGTCCCTGGCAGGCCATTGGCTGGGAATAGGGTTGTCTTTTTTACCTTCCTGTGGTGTCCCTGTCAGGCCATTGGCTGGAAATAGAGTTTACATTTTTACCTTCCTGGGGTGTCCCTGGCAGGCCATTGGCTGGGATTAGAGTTTAGATTTTTACCTTCCTGTGGCGTCCCTGGCAGGCTATTGGTTGGGAATAGAGTTATCATTTTGACCTTCCTGTGGCGTCCCTGGCAGGCCATTGGCTGGGAAAAGAGTTTTCATTTTTACCTTCCTGTGGCGTCCCTGGCAGGCCATTGGTTGGGAATAGAGTTTACATTTTTACCTTACCTTCCAGTAGTGTCCCTGGCAGGCCATTGGCTGGGATTAGAGTTTACATTTTTACCTTACCTTCTTGTGGTGTCCCTGGCAGGCCATTGGCTGGGATTTGAGTTTACATTTTTACCTTCCTGTGGCGTTTCCAGCGGGTCCTGAGCTTATTCTAATTTCATTTTCTTTTAAATGAAAAAAAAATTCAACGAACAACTGTGTATAATTACAAAAGAGGTCACTGTAATTGAAATTTGTGTTTATTTTATGATATTCTGCTTTCTTCAGTTTTCATGTATATTTCAGATGGAAGATTGCAATTTCGTTCTTGTTCAACTATACAAAATTCAGTGATTGGGAAATTCATCATAAATATGACCATTCAAATATATAGTGCTCAGATTGTTCGTTGAGATGAGCATTTCAAATGATTACCGGGTAAATACTTTTTAAAAGTTGTTATATTTTCCATTGCGTGCCAGAGTGTTTCTTAAAACACTGAAATATATATCTTATCTTATATATATATCTTTAAAAAAAATATGGTATTTACTTTTCTCTTTCGTCAAATGCACAGCATTAGAAGTTGAACAAGACCTGGCTGGCATGAACTGTATTTTTACCTAAATTTAACCACAGCTTGTTTCTTTATTAATGGGAAAACATAACATTATCTTAATTGAAAAATTGGGAATATATTCTTCATTTGGGTCATTTTAGGAAAATAAGGCACTTTTTTTAGTGAGGGGAAACAGCCTGTATTTTTGGCTGAGAAACTGAGCAAAGCAAATCACTGCAAAGTCAATATAACATGTGATTTATTGGGTTATTATGACATGATCTTCTAGTAAGATTGCAGTTTAATGCTTTCTTGATTCTCTGTATCAGATATATATAGACGTCTTTCAAACACCTAAAAAACAAATGGACCGGCCTTAGAGTATTTCTGGTGTATTTGAGTGTGTATGCATGGTGCAGGTGTGCATCGAGAAGGAGCAGATTGTAATTTCGTCAAGCTAAGGTTAAACTTAGAAAGATACAAGCCCTTAACATACTCTGGTAGCTATTAGTCAACTTGAGCAGGTTGTAACACTCAGTGTCCTTCAAGCTAACCTGCTGTCGATGTGTTACTTTGTAGATAATATCCAGTGTTTACTTTAGAAAGTCCACGAGTGATACACTTAGGATCGGACCTGTGATAAAATGATAACGTTTATTTACATTGGCCTATGATACAAAAAGTATATACTGAAATCGTGGGGTAGGGAGGGGGGACGGGGAGAGGGCAGTTTTATTTAAAAAAGCAGAGGTGATATGTTTTAACCTCATTATAAATTACTTTATTGTATATTTAGAATGACCTTATATTATCTGGATTTTTTCAATTTCAAATATATGGAACTAAACCTTCTCAGTAGTAGGATAATCAATGTAACTCAAACTTAATAAATTAGTATTGTGCTGTTAATCTGATGTTGCTGTAGGGTTTGTTATGAAAAAGATATAAAAACTTTGGGCAGAATTGATGAAAATGTTTTTGCTGTGGGTAAATTGACTGTAAATATTCTTGAAATCTACTTGATTTCTATAACTATTACTACAAATACAAGCTATCGATCACTGAAGTCCATGTTTATACACACCAACTCGCCACTTTTCTGCGTAAACAATACACGACTGATGTGTGTAATCAACTTGCTTGAATCTCTTAACCTCATATTCATTAGAATCCTAAGAGCAGGCACAGTTGTTCATAGTCTAATGTGACATCGGAGGGGTTATTTTTTAGGAATATATCTAAAAATTTACCATCAATTATTTCTTGTCTTCAGGTGATTGTCTTATCTCCAAACAACTTTAGTTTTAAACAAATGATAACATTAACCTCCTGTTCAGCTAATGACACTTTATACAACGTGATCCAGGAGGATTAAATTGATTTCTGTGATTGCTGAAGTATCATAATTATACTTGTTTCGTATTTCACAAGAACATTTGACTTCCACAATGTGTGTGCTGTACTATATATATATATATAGGACTTTTTTCTATATTCCACAGATGATTTGATTGGATATACAAGCTGAACAAGAATGATAGCCCTGTTGTCGTAACCAAGCTTTGTCAGGTAAGTCACAGGAGATGCACATGTATGTCTGTCCATAAATAACTTGATAATCAATTGCTCCGTCTTTATTATGTAATGAATTGAAAAAAAATATATCAATTACTTCTAATATAGTCTTAAAACTAGTGAAATTCCATACATATTGTCATGCTAAATCATTTCAAAATCATACAACTGAGAATGTTACGATAACTTGTAAATAATTCATGATACATACATAAAAAGTTTTAAATTACTCGGATATAAATCTTTAAAGGATATTTAAATACAGTTAAAAATATTTAACATAGTTCATTATAGCAATAAGGTTACTGGAAGTATTTTGTTATTTTTTTTTTTTAAAAGACGTGATTGTAACCTGTTGGTCTTTGTGAAGCATGAGTGAAGTAAATGTTCAATGTAACTTTCTTATTATTTATTGGTGAGTAACTGAAAAAGATACCTAAGAATGTCAATATTGTTTAGATTGGTCCGTAATAAATGTGATTTCATATTTGCCAACTCTCCCTATTTAGGAGGGAAACTACTGATTTTGGACCCTAAAATGGAACATTTTTAATCAGTGAATTTTCTAAACTGTTCCCATTTTCTACGATCCGATGATTTTACCTGAAAGAGTGTTCCTGTACATACACACATTTTATAATTCTGACCACGTGTAATCTCCCTCATGGAAATTTCAAAAAGTTGGCAAGTACTTTATTCATTGTTTTCTTCTTATAAAAATAAACAGCTTGTTATTGAAAGTTCGCTCCAAAAGCAAAAATGATTCACATACTGATTAAATCAATGTTTTTATCGAACAATATTTTTCTCTTAAGTATAAATAGACAGTATGAAATTTCAGTACTATTCATTGACAGTCACATTCCTTATTTGCAACTTTTAAAACAAGAATAAGCCTGCTGATGTACATGCTTGTTTATTGGGTGAAATATGTGAATATATTTGTGTATAAATTTACCTTGATATTGAATTGCATTAGGTTTTGAGATTTGTGCTTGTAACATGCACACGGCAGGTCCTATATAATACTGATCTTTAATAGAATACTCTGTAACAGGTTTAAAAGTGGTCTAGACTGGAACAATCCATAATCTTTTACCTTTTGTAGGCTAAGTAAAACTGGAATAGCATGTTCCCAACTGTTTATTATGCATGCTACCGAAACCCCATGTCATCATTTACAACCTAATTTACATAAAGCATTTTATAAAAATATATATTTTATTTGCAGGCAGTTAAATTCATTTGCACACCCTATATATCGTCCCTTGTCACTGTCCCGAGTATACTATGTACACACACATACACATATATATATATCCCAGTTGTGTGTTGATTGACTTGTTAAATTTCACGTTTTACCATTTGAAGCAGTGTTTGTGTATGGCTATGAGCAGGCGATGCTGTGGATATACAGACATGTTGTGATGTCTATATAAACTATTAACTTCCTTTAGCTACCTATGTTTGTAAGACCTCACGCTATCTCTAAGTGCTTCTCCTGAGAGGGAAAGGATATATATACACCCGACGACCGACAAGTGCTCTTATCTGTGATAAAAGATAAACTTCTGGAATACTACTTCCTAAATAAAACACTGAATAGCATGAAACATTACCGAATTTGTTTCAATTACTGCCCCATAAACTTCTTGAACACACTTCCAAATTAATACATTGAATAGTATAAAAACTTACCATATTTATTGCAATTACAGCCTCTTCCCTTATAATTAAGCATCCTTCCACATTTTTGAAATAAAATCTTAACAATCTCCACCCTGGCCCACTGGGTAACAAAATATAGTACTATAGAAACATAATAATAATAATAATAATATTTATTCAGGTAAAATAGCCATATTATTACAAGATATCACAATTTAGAATAAAACATACAATTAACACAATGCAGCTTGTAAATGAAAAGAGTATTTTGTATTAAGATTGAGAATAAAAACAGATCTATCATAATAAAAGGTTTCTTAATTCAATCCTTGACATATATCACAGAGCATAAAAATCTAAAAAAAAAGTCTAATACACTGTAAAAAAATGAAATAAAATAAAGGCAGATATTACTATAAAATGAGACTGACTATTTTTTAGTACATGAAGGTAGATATAAATAAGTCGCATAATAGGAGTGGTGATTTATGCACATGCACATACACTTAATATCAGACAGCTCACTTTCAAGATTAGGACCATCTTGCAGTGTTTCAGAAAAATGGAGTGAACAATTGTGGAACATTCTCTTGGAATATGTCTAACATTGTCTATACACGCAGCAACTGCCATAACTTATTGTTTTCCGAATAAGTGCCCTCCTCACTCAATCTGTTAAATAAGCACCCTGAGTTATGGCAAATTTTGTATGCAAGATTAAAGAACTCTACAAATAAGTAAACTTATGTAATGAAATATTAAAATAATGCACTGAATTCTGTGAAAAAACTGTGTAAAAAACTGAGACAAGAATGAAAAATTAAATAAATACTTTTGAAGATAAAATCCTGAAACAATACACTGGTGAATACTGTAAGGACCTGTGCTAAAATTCGTAAAGATGTCAATAATACTTCACTTTGTTTTATTGCAGCCAATAAATGTGATTCATTATATTTTAACTATATGATAGGAATTCTCTTGACTCTCTGATATATATCAGAACTACTGTTACAGGTATTTACAACAGAAAAGAAGTGCTTGTACTCTATAAAGGAATTTGGGATTTAAATAATACCTTAGGTTCAACTGAATTTTATAACTGAAAGATTTGATAAAGTGCATGTCGGTCCTGGATTAACTGTGCCGTGAAATTGCTGCACAACACACAAGGTATACTGTGTGTTACAAGGCTGAGGAATTTTCGGATGTAAACACGGCCGATTGGGACAGGATCTAGCTTTTCCTTTGTGCGTATGTGTGACGGGATTAGGAGGAATTCCCGGGTCCCCCTGTGACATCAGAAACCTCAGCCTCGGATATCTGTCAAAACAGGTCTACGACACCCTGTGACTGAGGGTGACATGACAGTGTCATTGGTACTCAACACATTCTGTATATAATCAATTTGTTTGTCAGGAGAGGATAGGCAGGAAGATGACATCATCAACATCATCTATTGATGACTTACTGGATTTAGACTTTGGTCCAGCTGCTGCTAATCAGAGCTCAGCAGGTGCGATTCAGGTGGTAAATAGACCCGGAGTATCGAATACATCTAATTCTCTGCTGTTAGATTTTGGTGCCCCAACTACAGAGTCATCCACTGACGATAGTGAACAGAAGGAATTCTCAAAGGATGGTGATTTCTGTCTGTTCAAAATGGACGATGTCGCTGATCAGGGATCTAATACTCTGACCACTGGTAAATCAGCCATAACGCCCACATCTCCCTGGCAACCACTGGACGTTATACCTGGTCAGATAGACTTGACACCGTCGCGCCAGTCTAAATCCAGCGTGGGTTCCCTCAGCGACGAGGATGCACTCCTGTTTGATCCCCTAGCTCCCACATCACCACTCAAGCCCACACAGGTATTCCTACACAACGCATGTGCATTTCACACCCTCTGTCGTTCGCACTGTGGCTTGGGCTATCTAGTAAGATGTTGTTGGACATGGATGTTGTTTCGTGTTGTAACCTCTTTGTTTTATTGATTTATTTTATGTGGTGGTAGGTTTCTCCTTTACACAGTCCAGCAATTGGATGGTTTTTTTATAGATACATGTAGCTTCTTACCTAGCCTATCCTTTGGTTAAAGCATTATGTGCTCTGTGTAACTGTTTGCTTCTTATATTTTCCTTGTAAACAGAAATATATAATATGTGTACTAGCTGTAATGTAAAGCTTAGAAGTTTTATGTCTTGTACTGAGTCCGTCTTGTGTCATTATGCGGCCCTGCTTTGTTGATTGTAAAGGGTGATCTAAGATGTGACAATTATGTGCACAGGTTAGCAGTGGTGTATATATATGAGCCCGTGCGTGTGTGACAGGTAAATGGCTTTTTATGTGCTATTTCGCCATAACCATGCAGACAGGTAGTCATCTACATAATGCACCTATAGCTATATGTCAACAGCAATGTTAGACATTAAGGTTATTATTATTCCTATTATGCACAAACAGGATTGTGTTGAACTTACCACCTGTTCGTTTAACTATTAATGTTTATTGTGGAAATGTCCTGTCATTCCATATATATTTCTGACAAAGCCAACCACTTGATATTTTTTTTTTTTTTTTATCTGTCTATACTGACTCCTTACATCTGATCTATATGAAGAACTTATTTTTCCTGATATCATTTGGTACATAAGATAGATAATTATCGTACATGTATCTGGTTATATGAATTATTATATAGGGGTGTAAGGAATCTCCCTCTTCCATGACATGTCATGGTATTGGTGACATCACAAGTAAGACAATAGTATGTCATGCTTTACAATGAAATGATGTCATGTCTAAGCCTGACTGCTGCCCTGAGATCTAATATTCCTTTTAATGACGTATCGTAAAAAGATATTTATAACAGAAAAACTTTTTCATACATTTGCATATGGAAGTCAGAAGATTCCATCTCCAGGTTTATATGATTTGGGAGTAAAGCCTTTGGCAAATCTTAGGTTGCTACTCCCAATTCTACTGGATACTCTCCAATAGAATATCCATGTATTTCCATGTTATAAATTTGCTAAGATATTTTGCCATGTCATTTTCATGAAAAAAATATCTAGGTCCCCATTTCAATGGAAATCCATTCACGGTTTCCATGTATTTCTATATGTCCATGTATTTCCATGTCGTTTCATGTCAAATATGGACATGGAATATAATATGGACATGGAAAATATAATATGGACATGGAAAATAATATGGACATGGAAAATATAATAAGGACATGGAATATAATAAGGACATGGAATATAATAAGGACATTGAATATAATATGGACATGGAATATAATACGGACATGGAATATAATAAGGACATGGAATATAATAAGGACATGGAAAATATATTATAGACATCAAATATAATATGGACATGGAAAATCCATGTCTTTTCTGTAACTGTACATGGAAAATCAATTAAATTCCATGGATAACAAATTCTGAAATTCATTATGGGAATCTCAGAGACAGGCTTCCAAACATGCATAAAATACCTGTTTATATCGACAGTCTCTTGCTACTTTCTGTAGATCCAGTGACTGTATTAAAGTTATATTTTTGCACCAAATGTGGCAAAAAAAAATGTATTATAGAGGGGAATTTTGAAGAATTAGATAAAAGAGAACTTTGAAATATGTTGGTGATTATCACAGTGGAAGATAAATTGTGTTGTCCTTGCAACATCTCAAGGTCATATTAGGATGAGTTCTTAGGGAGATACTTCCAAAAAGAAAGAAAAGGTTCAATAATAGGATGAGTACCTAGGGAGATACTTCCGAAAAGAAAGAATACGTTCAATAATAGGATGAGTACCTAGGGAGATACTGTTGAAATGAATGAATACGTTCAATAATAGGACGAGTACCTAGGGAGATACTGTCGAAATGAACGAATACGCTCAATAATAGGATGAGTACCTAGGGAGATACTGTTGAAATGAATGAATACTTTCAATAATAGGGTGAGTACCTAGGGAGATACTGTCGAAATGAATGAATACGCTCAATAGTAGGATGAGTACCTAGGGAGATACTGTTGAAATGAATGAATACGTTCAATAATAGGACGAGTACCTAGGGAGATACTGTCGAAATGAATGAATACGCTCAATAATAGGATGAGTACCTAGGGAGATACTGCCGAAATGAATGAATACGCTCAATAATAGGATGAGTACCTAGGGAGATACTGTCGAAATGAATGAATACGCTCAATAATAGGATGAGTACCTAGGGAGATACTGTCGAAATGAACGAATACGCTCAATAATAGGATGAGTACCTAGGGAGATACTTCCGAAATGAATGAATACTTTCAATAATAGGATGAGTACCTAGGGAGATACTTTCGAAAAGAAAGAATATGAATATCTTCAATAATAGGACGAGTACCTAGGGAGATACTGTCGAAATGAATGAATAGGCTCAAGTGGTGCGACAGATTAGTTTTGGTTTCTTCTGTGAAAATACAGAAGAAAACCCTTGCTTCTACAGAGAACCGTATGTTTGGAGGCACGGTAGTCCAGTAGTAGAACACGGGGCTTGTGACCGAAGGGTTGCAGGTTCAAGTACCATTGCTTCTACAGGGAGCAGTATGTTTGGAGGCACGGTAGTCTAGTGGTGGGACGCCGAGCTCGTGACCAAAGGGTTGCGGGTTCAGGTACCCCTGTGTCTACAGGGAGCAGTATGTTTGGAGGCACGGTAGTCTAGTGGTGGGACGCCGAGCTCGTGACCGAAGGGTTGTGGGTTCGAGTCACGGCACTGCACTGTGTTGTATCTTTGAGCTTTGTACTTTACTCCGCTTATTCCAGTCTACTCGGCTGTAAATGAGTACGAGGTCGGGCAGTGCTAGAATTGTTGAATGCTAGCTTTGAGCAATGAAATGGCAGCTCCGGCTGTATGCTCCCCAGGGAATTAAGAAAGATATTGGCTGGTTGCAAAGGTCATATAACCAGGGATAATAACTTAACCGCTTTGAGACGACCTACGAACTAGGTTGTGATAAAGCGGTACATAAGAACCTTGAATTATTATTTACTATTATTTTTATGTTTGTTGTCTCTTATGATACATGCAGTGGGATATAGCAGGCTTATATTTTCCCCGAACCTGTCGGGGTCACAAAATAACCCGAAGATGAAGAGCATTTTATTTTTATAGACGTTTTTTGGCACATTATCGTTCTAAATAACATTCTGAAAGTATTTCTTTAAAGTGAACTGTTATTTACAGTAAATTCTATAAGGTACTTCTTACAATGCCCCTTATTAAACAGCATAACAGTGCATGCAAAAGTTAAGATTTAGTGGACCTGTTTATTTCAAAGTAAAATAGAAGGTGAAGGCAAATCTCCCTCCAAGATAGGGAGATTTGGCAAGTGTAAGAACAAGTAAACGCTCTGAGTAAAATAAGTATCCTATTATCTTTTATAGTTTTGTGTTTCTTTTTACTGTCGTTTTGTCAATTGAGGAGATGATCTAAGTGCCTACATGGGAGGGAGGGGAGAGATTTTCAAACCTGCTCTCTTAAACAACTCTTTACTTGTAAGGAAAACTTGTCACATTACTGGTGTTTATAGTAATTTGATATCCAGGATCTCGCTTCATTCAAAAACATTTGAATAAAACTTTTGCTGTACTGTGTGTACTATTCTATGTTTGTGGGTGTACTTAGGTAAACAGGTATTTATATAACAGCTAGATACAGTGTTATAACTGATGATCTGTTGTATACACTGTGATCCTGTTGACATATTGGATTAATATTCAATATGTGTTTAACTTTATGGGAAGTTATTGTATAGTATAGTATGTACATGTACCGGTTCTGGCACAGTGCTATGTAAATTCTAGCTGAGAAGGGGAGGAGGAGTTGACACCCTGTCTTGGAGTAGTAACCAATAGCCGGATGTTTTGTCTATACGTGTAGATATGCATGGTGATTGCACGACAAAATCATTGCATTGACGAGTAACATGTAGAATAAAGACCAATGACATGTGGTGCTGCGATTGTATCTCCCTCGTCTCAAAATATTTTCTTGTTATTTTTGTCTTGCCGTCATGAAGTGGAAGCGAGACTAAGGTGTTGTTTTTCCGGCGACGACGGCGTCACCATTAAATTTTTGTGTTTAAGTTAGTTTCACTGAAAGTATAAGTGCTAGACCAACCAAACGTGGACCACAGATGCATCTTGGTAGTACATCTCAACCCATGCATCAAATGCTGGATGCGGCCTGCATTCACTTTGTCAGCATCTCCATCAACATGAAGTTTTTGCATTTAAGTTAGTTTCTCTGATATGTGCATTGATGGTCAAAGCCTGGCACAGACGAGAATGTGTTCTCTAAAAATTGGTAATAAAAAACCTGAACGTAATTTAAAATATTTATGTAGGCATTCCAGACAAAAGTAATCAAATCGTACAGTATAACAGGGATGTTTGCGACCTTGTGTCTGTTTAATGAAAGCTGAGAATGGTTTTGTATTTTCAGTTATAAATCCCTTTGACTTGGTATTTTGCTATGTATCACTGTGTGATCTTTACATGGCAAAATAGTATGTTGTCCCTCAAGGCTGAAATGCTTCCATATTTCTGCTCCTTCAATGTTTATGATGATATAATGTGTTTACAGCACATTTCCAGTATAAAATGTTTCGATTTGGCCAGTCCAGGACTTCAAGAGTTTACATTCTTCCATTTTATCTTTCCATTTCCCCATGTCTGTCAGTTTTTATTAGCTCACCTGGCACGAAGTGCCAAGTGAGCTTATGCCGTGGCGCGACGTCCGGCGTCCTGCGTCCGGCGTCAATATTTTACTTTAAACGCCTTCTTCTTAATAACCGAAAGGCCTAGGGTGTCG